TGTTGACAGAGCATATTCATAGTTTATTGTACTGCCACTATTTTATAAAAAAAAGTAGATTCTACAAATAATGACAACATAAAATATAAGTTTGTGGTTTTCCGTTTGTATGTGTTATTTATTTCCAATTGTGGTTTTCAAATTATCAAAATGTTGTTTACTATGAAAGATGGTAAATACACTACATTTTTTCATTTACGTATAAGTTATATATTAATGTATCATTTCATTTTAGTAGTTTACTTATGTATAAGTATAAGTAACTACTGTTAAATTATTTTTCTTTCATCTTCAGATTTTAATAGTCTTTCTTCTTTTTTGTTACAAAGTATGTTAGTTAAGTATTTATTCTTCCGTTTACTAATTCGAATCGTCATCTGTATAACTAGTATCGATATATTTATAATTATGACTTTAGATTGGTAATTAAATACATATTTGAGGTTCTTGTCCTTGTTATCTTTGTAACTATTTGTGCCTACGTGACGATTACCTTGTATACAATATTATAGACATCATTAACTAAAATTCTCAAATTGAACATATTGCGTCGAACATAAAACAATAGTATAAAAAGACGATGAATGATGTATATTATATATCAATAAAATTAAGCGGGCAACCGTATAGGGGTTTATTATAAGGATTGTCTTTATAAAAATCTTTCTTTTTATTATTCTTTTTTCTGAATAGACATCATTAAGAGAACCGGCAGTTATCGAACACGTATTTCGTGATATGACTAAATTCTAGGCAATCGGCTCATCCCCTAATTGTTATTTCTATTTTCGTAACTGTTAAATGGTAATCCAATTAAATAGAATCTCTAGTGCTCCTAATTATTTAGTGCTATTGCGTCACGTTAATTAACGATTTCCTCCTGTGTGTGTGCATACACGTTCAATCCACACTCCGGATGACGCAACGCCTCTCTAGTTTTTTCTTATTTCTTTCTTATATTTATGTAATTTCCATTTCATCTTTTCGTTTCCTTTGATTGAGGAATCGCAAGAAATCTCGTAACGCGTTTCTTGCATAAAACCCGGTATTATGTGCGGAAGCTGTTTCTATTCGCATAAAGAGCGGGCCACCCTGTATATCTATATTAAATAATCTGCTAGGCGGAAAAGAACGTCTATAATAACAAAAAACTCGTTTAACTGGTCGTATATCGTCAGTATGTAAAACATATGGGAGGAGGAATATCTGGAACACAACTCACGATATCTAATCGTCTAAGTAGGAAAGAAAAACAGTTTTTTTTTACTCTACTCTTTCGTAAATTCATTATCGATACAGAGTGAAACATATATCATTAGAAAAAAACAGCGATAATTGCGCGTCTGGTTCTTCACACAAAAAGCGCTATCTCGAAGAGTGGTTTATCTTTGAAGTATTTTAAGACTTAAAAGTCTGCGGTAATCGAGGATTTCTGCGTGTTATTATTTTCTTTCGATTTTGGCAGGCGTCGGGAAATGCAGTTCTTCTATTTATCGTTCCGAATGAAACCGAAGAACCATTGAAATAATAAAAACCGTCTCACGGTCTCATCGCGAGGCCACGATAAAAATAAAAAGCGATCGTGAAATGGAGAGCTTACTAAGGTTGTGCCACGGTGATTGAGGGGAGGACACGGCATTCGATGACCAAAAATAACGCAATAAATGGTACTGGCGTGCTAAAGATCGCTACAGATTTCTGACTTAAGAAGTGTTGAAATCCATTTGTAATTTCTAGCATAACCAGTGGTAGAGAATAATAGCTGGATGGTTTTAATTTAGAGAATTCAAGATTTTTTTTGTAATTACGACGTACCATTTGTATGCTTTTCAGAATTAACATTGTTCATTTAGAGATTTCATGTGATAGTAAATTTTCCGACATAACAATTGTGTATCTAACAATTTTATCTTTACTGAATTTATTTTTTATTGTATTTGTTTATCATTTTTATGTGGAATTATATCAAATTATGCTGAAATGTCTGATAATTCTCACGAATATTTTAAATAAATATATAGTTTTTTAATTTATTTTTTTATAATAAATATGTTTTCTATGGCAATTATTGAAATGTCGGATATTCTATGAAAATATAAATTAATATTAATATATAATGTTTTGATATTTCACAAAATACATAAATTACTCTGTACATAAATTAGCAAATGAACTCGAGTTTTGTAGGAGTGAATGCACGGACTAGACTGTAATATAATACGGAAATCAATAAATTATAAAATAAAAATATTTGCAAGACTTGCAAATGCAATGTTTCGGGTGAAACTAGACACCATGTGGATTGGTATTACGATACACATCAAAATCTAAGGTTTTATTTCAATTTTCATGTTTCCTGAATTCGCATATTGCCCAGCGAATCCACGTTGCGAGAGAGTGAGTGGGAGATTTTCCGCAGTCTGTTGCTATGGTAGGAAAGCTCCAATTCAATTTGATAAGGATATAATTTGTGCGGAATTGCGCGACGATAATGCGGAGGCAAACAAATTTCCGTGATTGAATAGGATTCGGGGGTTTTAATTCATAAATCATTCTAGAGACGTCCTTAATTGGATACACACTTCTCCTCCAATAGGATTCAAGGAAAACGCGTAGATGCGCGTTCTGAAAGGTCACAGGGGCATTTTTATTCGCTTTTGTAAATACATCGAAACGCATGGATCAGTGGCTTTTCAGAATGCGTCAAGATTTACTCATTGACAGATTAGATTACGCTGCATGTACAGTTGAGAAAAAAAAACAGCATTTCTGAAAAAGAAAAACAATTCAATCGATTATAGATATAGTCAAATTAGATTGTAACACCATCTCACGGTCAATGAAAAACTATAATTAATTTGCGAAAAATGTTCTTAATTAGTTCTACCGAAAGTGTAAATATTTTCGTTTCAGTGTTGAAACGAGTATGGCGTTGATGGCTTTTTACTAAAGCAAACATCCTTCCATAGGATGTAGGAAAAAGGTCTAATATATACGCGAAGAAGAAGAGACCGATCAAATATTTGAAGATGAATAAATAAACCGGTTCGACAAGCTGTATGTGTGTGCTGGAGTGTACGTACTTAGTAAATATTTGGAAATAGCGTAAAATTCGAATGAGTATATTAAAGCATTATTCTTCGCAACTTCGATAGTTACACCATTGGAGATGCACTTTGTCGTGTTTTTCCCGGAATCCATTAAATTCTCATTTTATAGACGAACATATATATGAATTATCATTTTCCTATTTTCATTTTGACTTGCTCCATTCAAAATCAATTTACTTTATAAATACTCTACGTGCAATGCGCCATTATGTTTGATCGAATCGAATCGCTCAGAATATTTGAGTGAATCGAAGGTGAAACTCCAATCGAACATTGCATGCTTTTTATTTCAGTATCATCTACGTGCAAACATTCACACGACGCGACAAAAACGACAAACAAAAAAAAACATGATTATTCATTTTCGAAATCATGCTACTGTTTCATAAATATTCTGTTGCGGACGATCCGAACGAAATTTGCCAATAAATATATAAAGTTTGGATCGATATAAAATACATTTGGATAGATTATTATTATATACAAATTTATTAAATGTATTATGTCTTGATTGATTTTCTCTTTAATGAGCATTGCATTTTCGAAATTTTGACACGAGCAGCTGGCAAAGCAATGGCGAAATGATCACAATGTGGACTCTGCTATTTTTTTAGACGATTCAGCACATTATGTTACTACTCTTATAATAAATATATACATATGGAATAACTGTCTAGTAAGTTTTATTCGTATCGCCAGTGCCCTATCCGCACATTTGTTCTTATCAATTTTGGGTTATCAACGTATGTCAACTTTTATTTGATATACGTATATTTTTTTCTGCATAAAATATGATTGTTATAAAGTATGATTTCGATAGTAGGAGCAATGTCATGGTTTCGAAATTTTGACATTTCAGTGTTGTGCCACACACGTAACATGACTCGTTCTGGCACAGTTTATAGATATTGATATAGCTTTGCTGGCGTGCCTCTATGTAGAAAAAATGTCCCGTAACGCCGGTTTTAGTGTGTTTGGAAACAGTAATTTGGCGAAAGTGGTCCGTAACATATATTTGTTTCTATAACTACCGTAATTAAGTACTAAAGAAAAAAATATTTATTGGGCACTAACTGTCGAGGCATCATTCTATAAATCACTTATTTTAATTTTCTTAAAAGTTTTAGTGCACAAATTGCTTGATCATGTATTTATAAAAATGCTTAAAATATATATTTTAGAATCCTATACACGAATATTTGTTTCCTAGAATTTAAACATTGCACCCTGAAATATGTTTACGGGTTGAAATTTTCTTAATATCAGTATTAAAAGGAAACTCGCACTTTGGACAGGGTTCAGTTTTTTTTTGGTTTGTTAACGAGACCCGGCTGCGTACGCAGACGAGAACCTTTGTTTCAAGTCTATAATTGTCTTTACTATTCTATATACAGCGTGAATCATTTATATGGTACTAGATAAAATAATATACTTGGTATATTTAGAATCCTTAGATGATGATGGATGCAATTTCATGGATTCTGAGAATTATGAAAACTATAATAGATCGTCATCTGAAAGTTACCCATTTTCTAATTATCGGAGGTATTTTAAAAGGTGATATGTAAATGTTGGAGTGCGAGAAAACAATGTGGGAAAACCTGAAGAATTTCTTGAAATATCGCGTACCATATAGCCATTTATGAATGATTCAAACTTAAATATATTGGCAAGACTTTGAGACGCGTTTTTTGTTGTTACTTTTTTCAGCGCAGATTTTTATTTTCGTTGCGTATGTAATATAATGAGAGATAATCTTATCTGGATATGCAAAACTTGCGAGTTTTGTATCGGCAAATGCGTTTTTGCTTACTTGTTTTTCCTTTTGCGTGTTCCCTCTTCTACGTATATGTGTAGATAGGAACTAAATGCGATGTGACGAGGTGCCTGTTGAACGGGCAGTCGCCAGTTGCGAGGGAGCTTCGGTCGAGGTTGGACGCGTCGTCGTAGATAGGGACTTGTATACTTGGGGAGAGGAGGAGAAACGTAGCTGTAGTTGGTTATAGTTTGAAGGCGAGAAAGCGAGTGTGAATGTGACTAGTTTGTAATATTGTCGTCGTCACTACTATTATCAACCTCGTTCATTCTACGAAAACGATTAGAAGTCGCATTTTAGTGTCCGCACAATAAAACCACAAAACGGAGAATCCAGTTCGAATATAGCTGAAAAGGGAACGCACCAGAGGTACGTAGATTGCGAGAAGAGCATAAGGTTACGCGTTAACCACGTGGTCGCTCATACATTTGATATTCTTCTAAGTATTTTATTCCAATACATTCAATTCAATTAAAGTTCAATGCTTTCATCGATATCGATTCGAAACACCGCGACATCAGATGATTTACGTAATTAATTATTGAATAGTTGCAATATGTTCATAACTGCATATTCGTTTCCAGCCAGCGTTGCCGTCATGAGCAAATTAACTTTAATTACGGCCCCCCGAGCGTTTATCAAGCTGATAAATAATGGAAACGTCCAACTGCTTTAATTTGCGTTGTAGCAAAATAAGTTTTAATTCCGTGGCTGCAGTAGTTCAAATTATACTCATGGTCCACGGTGACTGTTCATATTTAGTTGCTCCGCTTCCTGATTGCCTCAACTATCTGCACAACACATAATTACGAAAGTAACGTATTGCGTAATCGCCGATATTCGATAGTTTAAAAAAAAATGTTTTCGTATTCTAAGCGAACGGCAACAGCATTCGATGCAAGTTGTGCAGGCGAAGAAAGAAAACGAAATTATCGTTATTTTTATTTACGTATTTTTAGTTCACTTCTTGTGCCGTATAAATGTGAAAGTTATAAATGTATGTAGGTTGGTAATATAAGGATTTCTTTTTTACACAGCCGCTGTATAACCCGAAACAACAATAATGCTGAAAAACTGAATATTGGCGAATATGGGTAATCGATCTCGGGGATTTAGTAGCTTTTTGTATATTTTTCTTTGCGAATTTGTTGACGGTGGCCCTTCTAGATAGGTAAATTTCCCTCGCGGATCTCGTTTCGAGGGCGTGGACAGAGACCTTCCAACAACTTCCGGCCCTAAAAATCCTAACGTATGTTGGGAAGTTCGAATGTGCGAAGCGTAACCGTGGAAATGCATGCCGGAAGTGTTTCCTTTTTAACCCCAACTCGAAGTTTCTCATCCGAAACCAAAACGAGATCGGTGCATACATGAATGTAGAATTTGGAATCACACATTCGTTCATTTTCACTTATGTACTGCGTGTTTTCCGTTGTATAAGTTTATTATCTGTAGGAAACATTCATTATTTATTAGATATGTTCTCAATAATCTCGTAGTTTGAAACAAAGGCTAAGAACGGCAACGTTGTAGATTAACGGAAGAAACCAAAACCACGAACAAAAAATATCTGCTTTTCCTCAAATTATAGTCTATATTTCCTTAGAATACAAATTAATAAGTAGATTGGTACTTATTTAACAGTCGTAAATAATTATTATAATTCATCAATCCTCTGACAACACGTTTCTTTTTTGTTTTCCACACATGGTTTACTTCTTGAACTCCTCGTAGTTTTCTCACGTAAATTTACACAAATGGCCCCCTTCCATTTCATACTCACCCCTATTCGTTAGCATAAAAAATACAACTTATTTGAAATAGGGGTTTACATCAATCGCATTGCCGAGATCTTTATTCGAGTTGAATTAACATTAAACTAATGTTAAATTATGAGAATGCTTTTAAATAAATTTGTCCACTGTTTAAAGTTTAATTGGCGAAGTGTTTACGTTGAATTAAATGATTGCACTTTCTTTTCTTTCCTATATTATATCCATTATCGTGTCTCTTCGTTGTTTCGTTTTTTTGTTACCGCTTATTCAATTCACAGGATATAAAAATTGCCGTTCGCAAAAAAGAGAAATTATATTCTATTGTTCGCCAAATGTATAGCAGCGGTTGTGTCACGGACTATTTATCATATCTCTCCGTCCTATTCGCTTACGAGTGACACAGGAAAAGCCAAAAGGAAGAGAAGTCATTGATATAAAAAAGTACGAAGAAGAGAAGAGCACCATTGAAAAATAATTTTAGATCATCCAAGTATCCATTTTTATGCAGTGTTAAAATTAGAATTCTTCATTTTTCATACTCATTCAAGAAACATCATGTTTTTTTTTTATTAAAGATAGAAAAATATTTCTAGCTCTACTTAAAATGGTTCTTATTTTATACATGTTATTTATATTTAAATTATATTTACTATATAATTGAGTTACTGTTTATGAAATTATTTACTCTTTCATCCAATGTTATTATCACGTGCATATATGCACTGAAGACAACAAATGCGGACTTAACAAAGGTTATTGCTGAACAAGGCCCTACTTTAAAGTAATCTACGTGGGCCCATTTTACTTTGAACCGTGACGTAAGATGGACATGTGAATGCTTGCATTGTTCGTTGTTTTTTTTGTGGTGCTCCGAGCAGTGGACGGATTGATTGTTTCATAATTCTTTTATTTGTTTTTCGATATTCACTTTTTACTTTTGCACAATGCGCCGTTGCGTAACCGCAGACACACATACACAGAAGGGAAAAGAGACCGTTCCGAAATTGCTTTTTACGTAATTATCTCACATATATACATTTATACACACACGAACCGTATTTTTTTGCTTGCGAGAAATGAAAGAAAAAAAAGTAATATGTAACCACCGTTTTTTGTTGTGCGAATGTTCTGACCGTGATTTTGTTTTGCTCCGGACGTAATGAAAAAAGTTTCGTCTTTGTTGTTGATTTAATAAAAAAAAAAGCAAAACAATCTCGACGAACAATACAATCGCGCGCGGAAAGCGACGTGAATAATTGAAACGCTTAAAGTTTGCCTGCTTTGATTTGAATCTGAATAGTTTTAATTATATTGTGTATTTCACCGTACGGTTAAAGTGAAAGTGCAGGCTGGCAACGTTGCCTTTTGAATTTGAAATTTTTAAATTATTTTGTACACAACAGTTTGCTGTTGCTTGTGAGTGTATGAGGGTTTCAGAGGGGAATTCCCCTTCGCATTATGAGGAATAATAGAATAAAGGAATGGGTAAAAAATGGTAACCCCATTTTTTTGTGGATGATTTCGTTTAGGGGATTTTAGTTTGTTTCGTATTGAGGTGCATTTAAGTGTTCGGTCGTGCCACTGAAAGACCCCAAAATGTTTTCAATGCATCGAAATGTGTGACGTGGGTCCACTCACATTGCCCATTAGACATTTTAAAATCGAAATGCATTCATCGTGCATTTTCAGAACATTTGAACCGATGAGTTCTGTTACTTTATTCCCCTATTATTCGTGGACTTCAAAAAACGTGACCCTCGAATTATATGTAAAGTACAGTTCGGTTTTTTATGAATCACGTTTCTAGGATATAACGCAATCTTTAGCAGTTTCTTTTTTTTTTTCGAAAATATAACATAAATCGCTGTTCTAAAACGTAACCATTAACATTGGAAATAATAGCGTAAATATCCTAATATCATTTTTTAACCTTTATAATCATTTATATAATACATATGTTTGAAACCTTGTTCAAATATGGTTTGTAAACAAATTTGCAAATATAAAATATAATAATTTATTCGTGTGAATCTATAGTAATCAGGCTAGACAAACGGTCTATCCAATGTTTAGCCAAATGCCAATGCACTTGTGCCACATGCAAGATATCACCGAGTTGCAGACAGTTGCGCAACGAAAAATGCGCGACCCGGGACCAAGAAATCAAAACGGAAAATTGCGTAATCCCGTTGAATGAATATTTATTTATCGGCGGCGGAGGGCGCCTCTTTTCAAATGCGCGTAGCACGTGAATCGAATGAACAACGACATTTTAAGTTGTACAATGTTTGTCGCGTTTAATCTATGCAAGCGGCAAATGACGACCAACGAAAGAAGTAAAAAAGAGCGCCGCGTTTCGAGAAAGTTGTTCTCTAGATTTAACCTCCAACTCATTTATGAGAGAGATATATATACATGCCATTTGCAAATTGTACGATACAGCGAAAAATACTGTTATGATATTATAATTGCCCTCGGCTGAATAACTGATTCAAATTAATTAGCAACTATAATGGAAAATCGCCGTGTTGTTGGTGCCTCCGTTTTCGGTCTCAGGATGAGCTGGCGTTTCCAATTGGGAAAACAATTGCCCATCATAATTACAGCGCTTGTTTTTCGATAACAATCCAAGTCCAAAATGAAAACCCGTCGAAGTGATTCATAAAAGATTTCAACATTTTTGCTTCTGCACGTCACGAGCAACCAACCGTTTCATTCGACAAGGTTTCTATTTTTTCTGTACGCTGTTGTTGCTGTGCACGAGCGTTTGCACTTTCTTTTTCCCCTTTTTATTTTGTTAACCGGGGGCTAGGGCGAAAACGCGTCCAGCTGGTACCCTCCACCGTAGCCTTTGGGTAGAAGTCGAAAACGTTTTAAGGGGCAATTAGCTGCCTAGAGCCCGTATCCTCGCAGTCGGAGATGGAAATGAATAGGCGAAAAAAAAGACTTGTTGCGAAGTTCTCTAAGAAACGGTTACGTCAATTGTGTTTCATCACGGTTCTTCTATTTCGAAGGAACTCACGAGCCGAGTTGCAAAATGCACGAGACTTGAACTACTCAACACTCTGTATCATAAAAATAAAACGTTTACATTACAAAAGTTTACGTTTTATACATAATTGAGTAGGAAACTCAGAATTTCAACCAACTTTATTGGTTAATTGTATATCGATTTCGATCGTAGAAAACTGTTATTTTATTTTTCATAAAAGCACGTACGTTTAGCTTAACATATAATTCGTTAAGCGAGAATAATCTGCATTTCTAGTGTTTTGTCAATGTTGCAAATCGTAATGGTTAGACGAGAGAAGCCTTTGATTTCTGAAAGAAGAGACCTATCTACGTTAGGTGAATTTCTTGCAAAACGACATCAAAAGCCAGGGAGATAGTGCACGTATTTGCGTTTTGTAATTGCGGCAATTGCGATAGCGCAAATGATGATCATAGCAATACCAAGTAAATAAATGAAAAGTAATTCCGATGTTCAAAGTGCAGGACGTTTTTTTAAATAATTAGCAACAAAAAAAAGATCGCAGAAAAAACTCGCTGTGTAAAATATATTGCTCATTGTTTGGAACGTAAACAACAATGCTTATAATTTATATGTTATACAATGGACAATTTAACATGCTTTTTCTTTTTGAAATAATTGGCAACGCAAAAGCAACTAATCGCTTTTGTTACTAAATCTCGCTCTGTAAATACTAGTTGCATATAAAATGGAATTAATCCCCCAGTGACTATATATTGTTACATGCGTGCGATTCGCGAGATCAGTGTGCCGTGGTTATTTTATTTCTGTCAAAATGGTGTGTTCGTAAAATCACAATCCGAATCGATCGAACACCAAAATCTTTTTGAATTCGATTGGAAAATAACTAGTTCGTCTTGTGTCGTTTTACATTTAACTTACTATTATTTGAGTGCGTAAGAGAATCACAATATACCATTATATTTTTCTACAATTGTGTTTTTCTTGTTCCAGGTTTCGTCTTTTTGCAAAAGGATAAGCTTTGGTTTCGAACAAAACGACCAACATTGATATCGACAGAACACAACAGGGAATCACGAAGCAATCGCATCCCATCAACAATACGCATAATACGCCGATGTGAAGAAAATTTTCGAACGAAGAAGCGAACCATGAAGGAAGAGATTTTAGCTGCTGTCATGTTCTTAATCCGTTTCATCGAGAAAAGTGAAACATTCCCCAGTGATCAGTTAGAGAATTTCAAACATCATTTAACTGCACTTCTCACACAAAGGTAAGAAACGATACCTAACTCAACGCGTTTTTTCGATGATCGTTCTCGAAATTTTTATTATTTTGTAATGTGACATATGACACTTAACGTCAGGTGCCACGTCACTTCGCTTGAATTGTTTCCATAAACAAATTGCGTTTAGGATCATTTTGAATGTTTATAAAAATATGATAATATATTCACAGCGTGATGTTCCCTTAACATTAATCTATGGCGAATGAACTTATTCTACAGATACTTTCGCATCAAAATTCATTGAATAAGAATAAGACGCACGTTTAGCATAATCTATAGAGATTCAGAAGGAGATTCATATAGTTGAAGGAAAAACCTTGTACGTTCAAGGATTGCGTTTTAACTTCGTTATAATGAGGCTTTCCGATGTGACATTAAAAAACAGTACATAACAATCTAGGGGCTCAGCGTTCTGTGCAAATATTTGTTCAAATGAAAAAAAATTGCGCTGCACTCGCTTATCTTTAATATATTAATTAAACAAAGATGTCAGTAATAATAATGATGATGATGATAATAAAGTTTAAAAAAAATACCACACACAGACACAACCGGATACCTTGAAAACAATGGAATAAAGTAATAATTTCGAGTTTATTAAACTCTACGGTAATTTGTTATTTGCTATACGTCGTCGCGCGCTTTGAAATGAAGAACGGATAGTGAATGCCTGATAGAATGTTGTACTCACTGTGTGTACCATTACTCTTGATGGAGAAATAGACTTGGAATCAAACGAAATACTGACGGCACTGGCATTACTTTTTAATGAATATGATGCATTATTTATAGCTTTATTACACATACTCTTTGAAATGAATTATTTCAAACAAAATATGATCATTTCTGCATAATGAATACTTAAAAAACGAAATTTTATAACCGGATAATAGTAACTTACAGGAAATTGCATCTGTGCATATACATATTTATTGCGCGTAAATGAATTCTTTAGAAACCGATTTGACGTATTTCCGAATATATAATTAAAAATAACAATTGCTTACAAATAGCCCTTTGCAGTAATTCAATTTAGTTTTATTTTTCTTATTATTATTTATTAACATAAACGATGGCACTTTTTCTATAGGGGAGTTTCTTAGATATACCCTAGTTTTATAATATTGTTCTATATCTGGTGCATCACGAAATTGAACCATGATGGATTGTTGGTGAGCACTTGACGATTATTGATGATATTTGTGTTTCCATTCCTTCTTTTTTTGATACACAGAACAGGCTTCGAGCAGCTGGAAAGACAAGTATGGAGAATTCACTTACTCCACCAAACACGTCTCTCCGCCCCTGCACACACTATACAAGACTGTTCAAGAACTACAACCATCTCTTTCTAATAAGTAATAAGGGATTAAGGGTCAATTCGTATTTAAAGATCTGATGTACACTGAATAGAAATGAATAAGTTTGCGGCAGGAATATGCGCTCATAATCCGCTGAATGGAATGGTAATGATGGGGATCTGAAGGAGTTTCTTTAAATGCGAATTGGCTTCGAAGTAGTGACAAAAGAAACTAATTAGAGAATTCGTTTTTTTTACCTCAAGTAACCTTCGTTCCTAATTAAATCATTTATTATGTTGTTGTCGTCGACGGATTTCGGGTTTTGCGTTTACGTTGTTTACAAGACGTGAACTGTTTCCGGTTTTTTGTCTTTATTTCTTCGTTTCTACCGCAAACGTCACGCTCGAGGGGTCACAGATAAAGAATCCTCAGTTGGTATTCACTTCAAATTTTAAATCGTGTAACCTTTGGATGTTACTGATGGCGAAAGGGATATCACCAAAATATTATACTTATGAAACCGAATTTGATCATATCAGTGCAAAAAAATATAAAGTGCAATTGCTTCAAATATTTGAAGAGGAGGAGGTGAAGTTATCGGTGTTAATAATAAATTCTGTTCTCTTTGATTCGTGAAAGCGTAAGATCGAAGTTTTCGGTGACGCGCGTTTATCATGTTTTTGCCTCTCCGGTGTGGGGAGATTGGGGGGACTTTCTGTCCTTGACCTTCGCCGTAACCAAGGGGAATCAATGGCGTTGAGTCTCCCCACCCCAATAAGGCCCTGTTCCGACGGACTGTCAACAGGCCTTGATTTATGACCCGCCAATAAAATACGAAATTGGATGGGTTTCATTGGTCGAATTTATTATTAAATAACAGCGACAAGCTACCTTATTGGGTCAAAAGTTTGATACAAATTCTGTTCGTTCGTTCGATTTATATAACGCACGGCAACTGCGTATAGAAATTGTTTTCAATACTATACAACGCAATAATTTGACGTGATTGACCGAATTATTGATTTTTATTTGTCTAGATTGTACAGGTGTATATATGCTATTTTCATAAAATTAATTTGTTTACGCGAGAGAGTTTGCTTTAATTAAATAAATAATGTACTAGTACTGCTCTTGGTTGGCATACAATGATTGTTTAATTAAATATTGTTTCGTGGGACAAAATTTTGATCAAGTCTTTTTTTGTTAACTCCTGTCCAGTTTTTAATTAAGATTTTTAATTTTAGCGAAATGCACTTTTAAAATCAAAACTTCAATACATCCAAAGGCTACAAAGCCGAAAATAGGCAACGACGTTGTTGTTTTTCTTCTTTCGTTATGAAAATATTTAATATATGAACTTTCTCGTGCGGGGCCCATGTTGTTTTTCGGGTGTGAAAACCAATTCCTATTTTTAGGCTTCCTAATTTAATTTCCAAGCAAGATCTCGCTATAGAACGAGCGAAAGAGCATCAGTAGAAACAGAAAGAGGCAATAGTGGGCACACGCATAAAGCAACAAACCCGGAGGTGGTCCATATAATTTCGGGAGCGCGCTTTATTTTCGGCGAAACGGGGATAAATATTTATGAAAGAAAACACAGAAATAATGAACCGTAGCCAGAGGCGAAAAAAAGGACCAAGACCAACCAAGAAAAATCTATATTTATCGGAAACTTCGAGGAGCTAAAGTAGGAAGAAAAACTACTTTCCGGTGGCCCATTGCATTGCATTTTACTAGCCTAAATAAGAAATCTAAATATATTCTGAGATCGCTTTTCCAAATTCCGATTGTTTATATTTTTATTTTGAATAATAATAATAATATGGATATGTGCAAAGAGCTAATTATTGAAGAAAACAGACAAAATAAATGAAAATCAGTTAAAAAATATTTTATGCTTGTACATTAAAATTTTACTATGAACAGCTTAAAGTATGAACATCACTCTTGAATGCAGCGTTAGTTGTAAATTATCTGGAAAAACACATAACTGTGACTAAGATATACATAGTTTTACGTTTTTCTTAGCTTCGAGGACCAATTAAATGGTTTATTAGAACAGAAACTTCACTCACCTTATGCAAATTAGATATATTATAACGCCAATAAAAAAATGTTTGCGGGCAAATCATAAAAAAGATAAGTTCACTTTGCGTGCAGCAAAAGCCCAATCAATCTAAATGATTTTAAAATTTAGTAGCTTATTTTTACTGGTGTGCATTTTGCTATCTATGTTGTGGTCCTTGGGTCAAATCAAACTTTTTTTCGTCATTTCCTTGTGTGTTGGTATTTTTTTTGTGTATGCTTTATGAATTAAACATTGTATTTTCGCGACACCACATCGTCCTTCGTTTTTATCGCGTTTAACTATTTGTTGACTATACTTGTATTTATATATTTCCGCGGCCCCCATTTGTGATAAAACCCATATTATATTATTTGTATGGTCTATCTTTCTTTCATTGTTATTCCTGCTACTGTTACTGTAGTTTGTAAGGCACTGACTTTTTTGTTTTTCCGTAGGTTTGAGAAGCACTGGTTTCCAGAGGTTCCGGCAAAAGGCCAGGGCTACCGCTGCATCCGAGTGAACGGATTGACACCTGTCGATTTGACACTGGAGCAGGCGGCCAGCAAATGCGGCCTCAAGTATAGAGACCTACGTCTCCCAGCTGAACTCACCGTCTGGGTGGATCCTAGCGAAGTCTGCTATCGGTAAGTAAACTAGCCAAAAGTTAAACAAATAAAATAGACACTTGGCGCATCCGCCTTTTAACTTCTTTATTCCTGGTATAATAAAAGGCGATATTGCATACACTGCTCAGATAGAAGCAAGTCAGGAATCTTCGATTCACCTGAACACAATATAATTTCATTCGAGCATATTCAATTTCTTTTAGTTGCATTGCGTGGAAAAGTACGATTGCACAAAACGGAAAGGCATACAAAAACGTGAGCAGGTGACAGCACAGCAGTAATACTGAGAATCGTGTAAACAACTGTATAAAATTACAGATGTCTCTTTTTGTTAAAAGAAAAATATTTACAAAAGAAGAAAGGCTACGCCCTCGTGTTCTTCATCCTCCTCATGTTCGTATTATTTTATGTTTATAGTCGTGTCTGTTTTCTGCGTTTCACTTCCTGGCTCCGAAATCGCCTGATCTCTGAACTCTGCCTGTTTGCAGTATTATTTTGAGGACTTCGTGTATTTTTTCTCACATATATTTTTTGTAAATAAAAATTGCAACGTAAATACTACGTACCCACATATCCGGACAACATTATCGACAAGTATTATTAAACTTCATTTTTGTTCTTTCTTATTAAGATACACGAGTATTGAATAAATAAATAAATTATTGGGTTTTTCCCATTTTTTAACGCTCACATTTTGCAGTCACGTTCATATTAATTAAATGAATATTGTAATAATGATACAAATCAGATTATATTTTATATACTTGATAAATTGTATTGATTTAGAGACAATAAATGTTGGTAGGCATTGTTTTCCTTCTTAATGGAGATTTCCGTTTGTATGAGCGTAATAACTGTAAACGTGTGTCAATGTTGAAATTACTCTTCTATGGGAATAAACAGTTTTTTGTCTGCCTACTCTCACTTCGCATGCAGATTTATCGACTTCACGTCATGTACAGGGCATTATTATTTTCCATTTAATTTGCTTATGTTTCGTAAATACACTGTATTAAATATATACTGCCGTAATGACGTACGTTCTGTGTTGCTTAAATACAGCTGTTGCAATGTCACCCCAACACGTTTTCTCCGGTTTATTTATTTCTATATCATTCTCGTATTTATCGATTCAGTTTGTTTAACTTAAATCAATAGATAAAGGGTTCTACTAGAGATAGAGCAGGCTATTTATAAATTATTTTTACGCATAAACTTCAGAACTGTAAAAATTGTATTATTAATTATGACCGAACGAAAATCAACGATAATTGCATTTCATTGGATATCTAATCATGGTCTGCGGTATCTCGGGAAATGAATTGTTTCTCTAAACTAAAACAAACTTTCCAAATGATATGTTTGTTTGGCAAGTAAAATCATCGTTATGCACGAACGTAATTTCGAGAATTATTATAAATAAGCCAGCTGCATCATCATTTAATGATTATTATAGCGACAAAAAATTTATAGTATAGCGATAGCCTACAAAAAGATGTTTCTATTTTCGGTCTCATCGATCATTGATAACGGGGATCGAATAGTAATAACAACATTGAATCGTACGATTTAATATATATATAATATTGCGTCGCATTTTAAACATCGATTAAATGTTTTGTGTTATTTATTCCATAAGTCACGTACACATTTTGATTCAAAAACAAATATTAATTAATAATTTAAATTGGACACCGACTAAAAACGGAACGCATTGGAACCCGATTTTCACGTCCTTCGAATTCACATTTCATTTTGCGGCAGTTAAGCAATGAGAAAATAATTTAAAAAGAAAATGCCAATTCTTTTGGACTCGTTTTCTTAACATTGCAAATATTTATTGATTTGTGTCAATAACGAGAACATTTCTATTTGTATTTTTCGTTATTGTTCATTGGACTCAATGGTTTCCTTTTGTTTATTTTGCTGCTTTTCGTTTTTTTTTCTTCTTCATTTTATTTTTCCTTGGATTCGCTCCTGGTTGCTACAAGAAAACAAAGACGCAGAAACCTTTCGATCTTTTCCATTATTGTGAATCGGTATGAATCAGCCTTCTACATTAAACCAATTGGTCAGGGCCGATGCGGTGGGCGTTGCGAAACAGAAATCAAACGAGAGTTCTTGTTTACGTTTAATAAGTTTAAGAGAATAAATAGCTCAAAATTGACATACCTAATGTATTAGATTGAGACTAGTTGTTGATTGAATAGTTACGACATGTTCCCGACTTATGTAGTGCCTCCCACGTTTTATTTATTATAATACATATATTAATTTGCATTTTATCTATGATGTAATACTTATGTTGTTTTTTTCTTTATGTTTAGGCTAGGCGAGTCTGAAGGCTCGTACTGTACTTTAGCGACTTTCCCCTCGGAGTCCTCATCGGAATGCTCGAGTCCATCTCCGTCGCCACCGACTACGCCCTTACAGGACAAATCGAGGCGGGTCAGGCAGCTGCGACCGCTCACACACCATTTAACGATACCATTAACACCGACAATGGACACGCCCAAACACCACCGTTACCATCATAGTAACAACGCACCTGTCACACCTCTTAGAATTAAGCCAGTATCTAGAGAAGTGAGTGTTGCCTTCTTGACCACCCTAGTTGTCAAATATGCATTATACATTTTCTTATTATGTTTTATTCTTTTATTGCAGTTGAGTTTTAATATGCACCACCAGAACAGGCCGCCATGGCGTTGCGAGGGTCCCCCGTTCCCAGTTCCCCAGGCCATTTATAGGAACATGACTTACAACAACACGAGACACTACAAAAACATTCTGAGGGTGTAGGCGTGGTTTGTGCGAACGGAGCCCTGCCCATCGCCTCCCGAGCACCGCCTACTACCGCGCTACTACTACTAAAACGATGAAGATGGTGAAGTTTTTTGGATGAAAAAAAAAGGAAACACACATATAACAAACAAACAAGCAAGCAAACACTAGGATTAACGGTAGATGTTGTTATTACTTACTCGTAAACATTATTACGTACTTGTCATTTCTCAACTCTCCAACTCAATCTTTCTCTCTTTCTTTTTCTCATTCTCTCACTATCTTATCAACTATATTTTTTTATTAATATTAAAAAAGCTACAAAACAAGAGTATAAGATTTATATCATTTAAAGAGAAAGGGAAGGATGTCGTTTCTTTTTCGAAAGAAGAAAAACAACTGAATCAAAGAAATTACGAATTTATTACTTAAATATTTTGGGGCTTACTCTGGGGGTTTAATGTTTTTAAGATTAAATCGCAAAAATATAAACAAAGAAAAAAACCAATTATATGAAAAATAATTACCAAAATAACAAATTTGTGCAAATTTTCGGGTGCCTTTATTCAAAAGAAATTATAAGTAAAAAGAAATGAAGAAATACACAGGAGTGAATAGTCAATTTAGCCTAAGGTCTTTTTCTAAAAATAACAAATCCCTAAAATATTTATCATATATACAAAAGAAAAGCCAAAAAAGAGATGAAGAAATTGAAGAGTATACAGAATATAATTTTAAAAAGATTTATCTCAAACTATAAGCGATACGTCTCCACTCGTAGTTATTTACCTCTCCACACTGTATCGTTTTTATAATATTATTTTTTTGCTAGATGTTTATAAATAATTGTTAATTAATTAATTTATATATGATTAATTATTATTATTTTTTGTTGAACTGTGATAAATAATAATCATGTCATGACAAACAAAGGATGTGGCCATTATTGCTGTAACAAAAAAAACATACATAGAAGTTCCTCATGTCGTACTACTATTGGTCGGGGCGTGTTAGGCACGCCTTGCCGATGTCTAGTCCTCCCCGTCTCACACTTATTTGCGCCAATAACAGAAGAAACAAACAAAAATAATCCAACCTCAGTTGAGATACAGGATGGGGCATGGGCGAGCGCGCTTCTAGTTCATCGCAAATGGAAGACAATTTCAAGAAGATAATGTACAAATATTTTCATTTTGCCTACGATTGAAGAGCGCTAGTCAATGCCACAGAAAAGAATATTTACTTAGCTTTAAATTTCGTTTTTTTTTTTAAATTATCTACTTAACGGATTAATTAAGGAAATGCTTTCATTGTGATTTAAGTGACTGAACTGAATTATTATTGTATAAATGCCAAAAAAATGAAATGATACGAAACATAATTGAATTGAGAGTAAACAACAAAAAAATATATATTTGTAATAATAGTAATGATTGTTTTCTCGCGATACTCCCCATCTGTAAATATGAATTAATTTAATTGTTACGATTGCTTATAGTTTGACAATAATTGTTTTAAGTACAAAGAGAATTTCGTAAGTGAAATAAGAGAAGAAGAAAAAAAACTATGAAATGAACGTGCAGAAAAATCAGTATTGTGTGATTTTCTCTTATTTTTTTGTTGTTGTTTTGTTATAGTTGTATGTACGGAATGTGGCTTGATTTTTGTTTGGAGGCGCGTCGAATTTACCACCGCCCAGTTTTAATTTTCTTTTGTTCGCAAATAAATTCGACGCCGCCCCCCCTAAAAAAGCGCTGCTCTCCGAGTCCGATGTATGTTTAGATTTAACGTTCTGCGAGTACGTGTATCATCTATCGTTAATTGTTGAATTGATGTTGTTCAGAGCACCCTTTCGAGTGGTTACTTTGACGCCTTTCCTTTTTTTATTATTAACTAACTATCGTCCGCGCTTTCCCGCCCTCGTCGTGTTTTTTAATTTACTTTATTTTGTTCATATACATACATATGTAATTATTAATTATTTTTTTACGCGTAGTTTTGCTTTAATTGTAATTACTTTTCTTCCCTAGTTAATTTTCGTTTTAAATTAATTTTCTCCTTTCCGCTTAAGAAATCTTATGTTTTAATCGAGTTTGCGTTTAGTTGGTAATGATTTTTTTCTTTCAAGGTTTTACATACAAAGAAAAGGAAAGTAAGCTTTGTTTAATTCCGGTTGTTATTTTGTTCTTTGAAATTTCGCGCTGATTACATATTATTTTCGATTGCCTTTTTCGGAATGGAATTTCATTCTAAAGATATTTCCAAATTTAATATGTATAATAAGTGGTCCACACTATTATGACAAATTCGTTACGTGCCCCTGATACACCTCCCACTTTTTGTATACGTTTTATTAAGTTATTTTGTTTTTTAATTTAAGGTTTTTACGGTTACGGCAATTTGTTTCTTTCACGTTTACTTCCCATTAAAAAACAAATAATTAATTCAAATTTAATTTCGAGAAAGAAAGAACAAAATCATATATACCTATATATATGGAAAAGTTGAAGGTATTGTGTACAGAATCGTTTTCGATCTCGTTTCTTCATTGAAATTATTGTCGGTTGTATTGATGATGATGGTATTGCAAAAAAAAAGAAAGTCATGTGCGCTCGTATCTCCCTCCCGTGTTCCGAAGTCAAGATAAATTAAAAATAATAGAATATTTTTAGTGATTTGAGATGATGTGATTCGCAATAGTTTTTTTTTTCGTGTATATATATATATTTTTATTAAATTAAAAGGAGAAATAATAATAGGTAATGATTAATATATAATAGTGCTAGGTGATCGAATTCTATTGGAAATAATGTGATATAATTTGTATTTGGTTGCTGGTCAAGGAGACGGAATACACGTTGCGGATGTTGCGCAACCGTTGACAACATCTTTCGGATGAGGTGAATGCCATATTTGCAACGTGTATTTCTGTTGCAACGAATGCGCACAGAAAAAAATACACACTCGCTCCCACCATCATCGTCGATTGCCATCGTCAACAATTTCACGAGCAGATTTCTCTTCTATTTAGTTACTTTTTCTTTTAAATGTAGGGTTTGAAAAGCATTTTTTTAGTTTTGTTTCGCGAATGACTGAATTCTGTGTACAAATACGTTTATTTTTTACTTGAAAAAAAAGAGCAATTTTTCTTTGTGTGATTTACAACGACTTTTTTTTAGTATGGTGTGGTTACTTAACCCGAAATTAACTTATATTTTTCTTGTAATTGCCGTTAGGTGTTTTATCTTCTTTAGTTTTTTTTTTCATAAACAAAATTCGAACTAAATTTATATGGAAAAATCGGCCTGATCCACGGATAAAGAATATTTGTAAATACAAAATTAATGTTTGTAAGGATTTAAGTGAAAAAAAAATTATATATATATTTGTGTTGTGTATGCAGAGAGGTAAAAGAAAATGTTAAAAAAAAAAAGATGATGTCAGCTGTGATTTGTATTTGTAGCTTCGGAAAAAAGGAGCAACTAGAAGACAAAAAAAATATATATGTATCGATGTATTAACTCGCCCTCCCCCGTTTTAGCTGTCAATGAATGTTCAAATGTTGTGTAACTATTCTGTATACATTTGTGTAGGATCCACTCTATATTATTTTTTTTGCGAATTCAATTAATTGGCTGAACCATTTGGAGCGCAGCGGTAGTTAGTAGTTGCATTTGCATTTGCACGTCGCAGAGTTTACCTTTTGTCGTTCCGAGGTTCGATCGAGAATCTGATCTTGGGATTGTTTGAAAAAAATTTGGATGGAAATTTTCGCGTGTGAATGCAAGTAGAATTTAATTCGCAAAAAAAAATAATCGTAAACGGATTTTCGTAGGTGAACTTGTAAGGAAAAAATCACATAATTAGCAGGGTTTCTCTTTAATCTATAATATCTTCTTTGACGCGTATATACACTTATAATTATTAATATGCATTTAATTTGTAACATATTTGTTTTCCTCCACTTCGATGTTGTTATACTACATATACATGTTTTACCTTTGCCCAACCACTTTTTTTATCATCTTTTTTTTAATTTTAATTACTTATGTAAATGGAATTGTTAACTAAATGTACCCCTCCTCGCCCAACACGACCCCCGCCCCTCACAAGATGAAGAAAAGTTAATGAAGATCCAGTCCAGGTTTTTCTAGAATTATGTACGCTCGTTTGATTCAAGAAAGAAACAAAGAAGATAAAATGATAACACAAAAAGAAAACAAGTTAAAATAACAAAAAAAGAGATTTTTATTATTGCCTGAAAGTGCAATTATTTCATTCATAAAAAATATATATATATAAATATAATATTATTGTGATATTTTTCTGTATGTATATATACACATTATATATATACAGCTCGAAATTTTAGAGAAATATTTGTGAATTGTATGTACATAATTCTTCAACAAATCTGTAAAACTTTACTGTAGAAATATTGTATGTAGAATGTTTGAATGTAAAAAATATATATATAAATATGATATAATATAATTAATGTTAAGAATTGCAAATTGAAATACGCGCAGTTTTATTTCTCAACTGTTTCTTCCTATCCTTGAACATTTCCCATCTTTTATCTTGAAAAATACCAAAATAATGTTTATGAACTCGAAAAAAGAAAGAAGGTTCTAATTGGTATAAATTATACGGAAAGTGCAAAATGAATGAACACATTGAGAAACGAAAACATTTACAGGTGGTTCATAAATTGTAGTTTGGTTGACTACGTTTTGCAATATTTCCAGGCAGAGAGCAGATGGCGAAACAGGTTCTGTGTAATGCCTTCGTTTATTGTCCATAATTTATGGGTAATTTAAGGCAACATTTTTTGACATTTTTCCGTTCGCGATGACCCAGTTTTTTTTATAATTCATTTCAACAATCGTTTCAACAGTTCGTGGTTTATATATGGAAACTAATAAAATATGATTGGTTGGCAGTTATCTATGTTTTCTATTTATTCTCTGTAAAATATGAAGATTACTGTCTTATAGACGAAAAATCCTATCATAATCAACAATTTTGTTATGAATTGCATGGATTAAAGTATTTTTTTTATATATTAGTCAATATACTTGCATATAAATTTCAATGTTCTATCTTAACTCTGAGGGCATTATCACCTTTTTAATTGAATCTTAATTTTTTAGAAAATGTACAGGAAAGAGCAATTACCACCTAATCAGAAAATTCTTTAAAACTATGCATAGTTTTTTTTTGTCTAGCCTCACTTCAGTCTAGAAATATATACGAATTTCTGAAGCTTCAAAGAATTTAATAACAGTATAATAATATATAAGTTCAATGTAAGATATAATCAGGTATGTATACTTATTTATTCGATTGTTCTGAAAATAGTTATGGTCACATACTTTGTGTTGACGCTGACCTTTTAAATATTATATTTTAATCGATTTTCTTTATGGTTTTATTATGAACAACATTTTTAAATTTGATAAGATAATACACGTCTAATGAATTTCCTGAAACGATTTAACTTATTCCACTTGAAATTAATCACTCACGTTGTGCAAAATCATAATCCCAGACATTATTTTCCGTTATTTATTAGGAATATAGTAAATAATGCAATCAAAGATTACATTGCTAGGAAAATACATTCTGAAACTGTATATCAATTAATATTTTGATAAATATAGACGATATACACTAACTATAATGGTTAAACTAAATGATAGTAATTATCTTTTACTAATTTCACGTAATATTTAAATAATTCTCGAATGCGTTATTGTAATAAGCAGTTCCATGAATTTAATTAAATTATTCATGATAAATTGTTTGCATATAAATAAATAATGATGTATTACTTTTTTTTTTCGATTTCTCTGTATTGATCGGTTAGTTGTAGCCAAGAACTCGCAGTTGATAATTTCTCACAAATGCACGTTTAATGTATGACATAGATTTTCAAGGATGGATTGTTTTTTGTTGTTGTATAATTGCGGTTAGCCTGGCTTTACAGACATTTACATCATTGTACATATTTGTTTGCCGCATAAATTTAAAATAATAATTGTGAAATGAAAACAAATTTGTTATCTTTAAATAACACCGCAATGAGACATTGTCTGATTTCCAGAAGTAATTGAAATCACAATTACTGTATTATATTTTCTAAGTTTTAATTGGATTCTAGAGAAAATTTTTATATTGAAATATGATTTTAATTGAATTGATTTTGCATATGGTAACATCTCATATATTTAAATGAAATACACGTTTTCTGTATTTATGTAATTGTGACATTGTAAATTGTTTAGAATTTATAACATGCAACTAATAAAAATGTATAAAATTAAATTTATTTAATTAAACATAATTATTTTAAAATGATCAGCAACAATTATAATAGACTTACACATTCATGATTTATATAATTTAATCTAACACAAGGAATGATAATTTTTAAAATAAGAAGTAAAACAAATTATTTAAATAATGAATTCATTTGAATCTATTTTTTATAAAGTTTGAAAATTTGAATTTGCTGTGGTTCTGACGGTTGACAAGTAGATATCTGTAAAGAAATGAAACGTCACCAGCACAAATTAAGTATTTATCGTGTATATTAATTGCTGATCAAGTTAAAAATGTCGATGTAATATGTTAGTAGGAACGTGCGAAGGCAAACAACTTGTTATGTGTAATCCGCTGTGCTAATTAGACAAAAACTGTTGTGTATTTGACAGTTGTCAGATTCGGTGACAGCTGGACATAACCTGTCAGCATTGTCAGATCATTTGGACATTTAATAACATTAAAATGTTTTGGTGCAGTGCAGTAGTGAAATTTGTTTTTGTTTGTTTGTGTTTTAGTGGTGTACAGGCAACACATTTGCAAGGAAAATTTAGGACTGATGAGTTCTTTAAGTTCCTTGTCAAGTTTGGTTTCCAGAAGACTGAAAGACATGAGAGGGAAACCACACACGGCTATATATTTGGTAACATAACAGCCAGACACAACTTCTCTGTGCCTGTGACATTAGCAGTGCTGGATAGGTCACTGTTCTTAGAGTACTATGAGAACCGTGTGATCTACAACAAGAAGGAAGCATGTAAGAGGATGTTCAATAAGCTCAGTGTTAAAGCCTTTGATGCTAAATGCAATCCAAAAGGCAATGATTACCTGAGAAAAGTGCCTTGTCCAAAAGGTGGACTCTGCTTAGATGAGGATACTGCTTGGAATGTGGTGAAAGGAAACCAGTTCACATATGTGATACAAGACTTGAAGCAGCCATCATTCTGGTATATTTCATTCGTTGCCTGCCATTTGAATGATAAATGTGAGTGGACTAGTAATGAAGGCCATGGGCACCAGGAGTTTGACTATGATATATGGTTGGTCAATGGTAACCCAAACACTACATTCAGTAGCTTGAGCTACCAATTCTCTTTTGACCGCCAGAACACTTTGGAATTGTACCTGTTGTTCTGGTTTTGCTATATGGTTTTAGTGCCATTGCAATTGCATGCTGTACGAATCCAGAAACATCCAGTGACCAAGTTGTTCACAGCAAGTTTGCTTTTGGATTTTGTTGCTCTGTGCTTCATCCTTATTCACACACTGAAATTTTGTTTGGATGGCATAGGATATCCTAAATTGTCAATGGCTGGTGATATTTTTGATATTTTATCAAGGGTGAGTTTTCTGACAGTTAAATAATCATTTAAATCATTGTTTTCATTACTTTTATAGACTTCTTTTATGCTGTTATTGCTCCTTTTGGCAAAGGGGTGGGCTGTGACCAGAATGGAATTGACTTGGAAACCATTGGTTTTTGCTATTTGGCTGTGTTATGGTGTTGTGCACATTCTGCTGTATGTATGGAATTTGGTAAGATTTTAAAGATTTACTCTATATTAGATGTTTAAAACTTTTTATAATATTTAAAGAAATTAATTATAAACTAAAATTTATAATAATAAAAATGTTTATTGCATCAGTCATACAATAATGTTTTGCGAAATTACAAAGGTATCAGAACGAACAAAAATAAAATGAATTATTTTAAGAAAATATGATGTAGATTTTTTTAATATTAAAATGATCTTAAAAAATAAATAAACTGTGCCGAAGTAAGGAAATCTTGCGTTTGTGGCCAAATATCAATTTTGCGCACTCTTCCATCATTAAAACAATACTATTACTGGCACTACTATGCTTGATGCACCTGGATCTGTCGTCACTATCGCGGCGCTGATCATAAATTAAGAATTACTAAAACATAAACATTGTAAGTCTTCACCATTAATCGGTGATTACTTATCTTGTTATAAAGAATTAGGTTAAGGTTACCGGTGACTGATTACATACAATTTGGTGGGCGATGACCTTAAAACAGCTGTTTAAGTCATAACATGATATAGTCAAAACAGACATAGTTACTGCGATTAAGTACAACTGATATACTCAGCATAAAAATAATATTCTTTTATGAACACATATTTTAATATAAAAAAAAATATAAAACGAGAACTAGAGAAACAAATACTATTTAAGTAGTTTTCTATGTCCACTAAATTGTCAATTAAATATTAACATACACAAATTTGTATTTTTTGTCGTTTTGAGACATGTATCAAATCATATTGATATCCCATTATTATTTTGTGTATATATTATATAAAAAGAGAAATGGAGTACTTTCTTCTGAAGTTATTATGCTTTAAAGTTAAAGTTAAGATGCAGTGACTTTGTAAAATGTGAAATAACATTTGACTTAGTAATTCATCTCTAGGATTAGTTTATTGCTATGACAGTAAACAATCAACTTATATACAACGTGAAATTACATTTTATGATATGAGTGTAAAGTTGATTATTTGTGCATTTTTTCTCTTTAATTTAACAATTGTCTGAGCTATTTCTTTAACCTTTAGTCTGTCGGTACTTGTTTATATTACTATTAAAATTTTAAACGTGAAACAGTCCAAATACCTGTTGGCTAGAAATTTCTCGCCCCAAAAAGGCCCAAACGAAACAAAAATTTACTTTGTAAAATGTGTTTGTAACAATAAAAATTGATGCATAGTTTTAATAAAGCTACTTTCTTAGACATTTTCTAGAAAATTAAGATGGCATGTTCAAAAGGTGGTGCAATACCACTGCCCTTTAAAACTTAACTTAATTTTATTGTGTTCTAAAAGAAATCCAAAAAATATATTTTTTTATTTTAACTATGTTCAGCACTGTTAAGCACTTTTTTAAATCTTAGGTTGTTAACATTTTTTAGACAGGAAGGTCTTTAATTTGGTCATTATTTTCTCTGTCTTCGTTGCTAACTAGGTTTTCTAAATCTTCCACTAAAAACAATTACTTTACTTAATCTAGTACAACTTCTGTTGTATATAAGAATTTCATAGTGATTTCTTTATAATAATTAATTATGGCGCTATTTCTGCCACCTACTGATGTAATTGATTATGTTTCTAGTTTCTTAAAAATGACGAAAAATGGTTAAAATAAATAAAATGTTCATTTGAAAAATAATGTAACTGTAAATTAATATTTTATTGCAGACTGAAGTTGATATTATTGAAGACATCGATGAGTATCAGACATGGCCTGGCTGGTTGATAATAGTGTTCAGATGGCTGATTATGATATGGTTCCTGTACGAACTGAGGACCACAATGCTGTACGAGCACAACACGCAGAAGTTGAACTTCCTTCTTCACTTCGGAGCATCGAGCCTCGTATGGTTCATCTACCTACCAATACTCGCGCTAATTGCGCTTCACGTCTCCGCTCTCTGGAGGTTCAAATTGCTGCTAGGTAGGAAGTTCATCCGATTAAACGCAAACGAGAATTTACTAAATGTTCTAATTCTCCATTTCAGGGATCACCTACTCTGCAGATTGCTTCGCCTATTGCGTAATGGCTCATCTCCTTTGGCCGACAAGGTCTGAGCAGTACTTCCTACTTGCTGGACCTTCGGTGGCCGACAGCGAAGAGTTGGACGAGTTTAACGAGGCTCCGCACATAGTGAACAACTCCTACACTTCATTGAGCAGCATGAGCACTCTGGAAATAGGGAGGTACGAAGATCCGGCCAAGACCAACGCCTGAATGACTATTACTACTATAACTACTCATCCTATTGAACCGCAACTATGTAATCACGTTTAGGATGGTTTGTATATATTCGATTAACCAACGTTTAATTGCGTTGCGGCTGCTGTTGAAATTCTTCTTTCATTTTCGTCCAGATGGTCTGTGTTCTTCGGCACAAACGTGCGTGAATCGCGTAGTCAATATTTTTCTAACAGCCTGTAAATAGAAGCTGCTGTCATTTTTATCATCAAACCTTGCACGTTTCCCTTCACCATCAACAAAATTATCCCAACTATTATATTTTTTTTAGCCATATTATCTTTTATCATACGATTATGTTCTATTAATTGCTCAAATATCGGACGGAATCTTAGTTAAACTAAGATTATCGTTACGATCCACTTTTTTTGTTTGGTTTGACGTGCTAACTTTTTATATCGATATTACATTAGTGCACAAATATTCAGTTTTATCAAATAATCTATAATTATTAGTAATACGTAAGATAAGAGGATAAACTGTTTAGATCGCGAGGCTTTTCCGTTGAAAACTTCAAAAAAATAATTTAATTCGAACGTGTTTCACTGGGTTAATGATTTTTTTATAAATGTAGATTTAAACAAAAAATTACGGGAAAGCGAAAATTGAGTATGTTGGCATAGAAAGTGAGAGCTCAAAAACTGGTTTTCGGTTTTGTATCCATTGATGTGATGTGATATTATTTTAATGTTAATTAGTGTTTATTTAATTATTATATCTTATTTTGTATATAAACCAGGAGACATTAATCAACACAATTACATTTTCCATCTAAATCAGTAACCATTTTCTTTTAGTCATACGAATGATCATATTAATACAGTAATTAATTTTAGTATTTTGACTATTAACAATAACTATATTGAACTAATTTAAGAAACTAACAGTTAGTAGCAACTGGATGGATAGATATGTTTTTAAACTTGTATTGTTTTACACATTATGACTATTAAATCATTTTAATTTTATAGTGGAAAAGCGAATGGTGTTGGTGATGTTTGTTGGTTTGGCATGAATGTATTATACCTACTTATAGAGACATAATTTAGTGAATATTTTGGTTTTAAGTATTGAGGAATTTCAATGATAATCTGTGAACATGCCCCAATATGATGATGATGATTAATATATGTGATTAGACTGAGTGCAGCCAATGAATGAATACGACGATGATTTGTGTATAGGAATTTTTTTGCCAAATTTTAACAAACAAAAATATCTCAAAGCCATATTTTTCTAAAAAAAAAAATAATAAATATAAATAATAAATGATATTATATTGATAAATAATAATATTGGAGTCTGGTGTCTATCGGATTTGATTATTATTATTGAGTATGAATTTTAGATTTTAATTGTTCGGTTTGTAACTTCGAAAACAGATTTGGCGGTTTTCAAAGCAAAAACAATATATTTATATAAATATTCTTCGATTTCGGCGAAGAAAGTCTTTAAATGGAAAAATAATGTGATGGGTGTAATTTTGGAGTTGTTGTTTTTTTTTTGTTTATTTGTTGTGCGCGTGTTTTATTATCGAAAGGAAAAGTGCACACTACGAAATTGGATGTGTTTGGTTTTCGATTGTCGGCACATTTGTATCTAGTTCTGTATCCTTAGGATATGTCAATTCGTTTATTAAACTGAACTCGTTGAACATGATGGACATCGATCAATTATTTTTATCCACTGTTATACTAAAATCAACTTTTTTGTAATAATTAAACAAAAATGATATTACTATGATAATCTTTGCATATTATTATTCTTCCATATCCATGTCTCCTTGTCCTAATCCAATGAAAGTAAGTACTCAGTAAATTTTGTATGATTTATATTAAGAAATATTTTAATCCAATGTTCTGTTTTACTACTCTTTTGTCAGGTTACCATTTTTTACACAATGTACTGCACCATTGCAAGTACGCTCAACTCGGCATGTTGCGTTCCACACGTTTGCGCTCAATTCTAGGAATTGCAACCAACACAGCCAGCAGTCAGCCGTTCAACGATCTCTTGCAGCAACCATTTGTTAAGCGTCACTGTATTTGGTCAGCAGTGGAAGGCTTTGTTCTTAGTTTCAAATTATGTTTTTGGAGGTAGAATCATTGAATCTACAGCATACATTTGCATTATTGGAGACAGCCCTGCATATTGATAGCAACTTTATTTCTATTATGTCTATAATTGCATATTATTTTTCCCGAAATTTATACATGATATTTTCCATACACATATAACTTATTATGCGACATTTCGCTAAAACGGCCTTTTTTATTATGACACTTTTTCCACAATGTTTCTCAAAAAGCAGAAATCAAGGCGGATTTGTGTCAAAACAATTGATTCGTTATACGACTTTTCGCTTTACGACCAACTAGGGTCAACTTTTCTGCAAAACTTATTTTCGAATTTTCCTTTTTAAAATTATTGAATATTACATAAAACTATAACAACATAAAATATCTCCACAGAAAACTATATAGAAAAACGAATATCAGTAAATATTTATAAAGTATTATTGTATTTATATTATTATTTATTTTTTTCTCAGAAAATATGATTTTAAATAGAATAGAATGTCTGCACTATTGCTGAAACATATTTTGCAAGCTATGACTTGATTTTCTTCTTCGCCGCTTTTTTCATCATTGTAGTTATCTGGTATTGAATAATTTGGATACAATCTTGATAATAATTGTCTAGATAACTTAATGATCACATTTTTTGATGCTAGTGAAAAAAATACGCTGGACGTCTTTGTCCAAACATTTTGTGGATTCTATAAGTAAAGGAGAAGTGCAAGTAATTTCAGTTTTCAACTTTTTCATTTCACGTAACAGAAATTCAAATGTCTTCACTTGTTAATAAATTCGCATCTTGTCGTCCTTATGCCTCTTTCTATCATAAACTTAATTCCTTCATGAAACTTAGTATTTATGCCAGAGACGACTCAAAAACCGATTTTGTAGTTGAAAAACCGATAAACCCTACAACCAAATCCAATTTTCTCAAATATAAAGAATCTTTACATATTTTGTTTTATTATGGAATTTTTACAATTATTTTCATTTTACTTTTTATATACATCAAATTTATATTATGTTCTATTATATGGCTAAAAAAATATTGTTATTATTGTAAGCGAATATGTTAAAATTTTATTTTAAAGTGTCAGTCGCCGAGTTGACCGTCGCCCGGTTATCGCGTACCCCCGCGGACCGGTCAACGTTTGATAATTTTAGCGCGGCCCGCTGAGGGAGGGATGTTGATACAGTTACACCAAAATAAGAATATACAGTGATTTAATATTTAACTCGCTAGATACCGGTACCATTTGATCCATGGACCATGGGTTGGGAACCACTGTTATAGAAAACAGGGAGTTCTTGATATTTTTTTAATAATTTTTATTAAAAGAACTTTGACTTTAATATCACTATATTTTTATTGTTTGAATCTTCGTACAATCTTTCTCGCTTATTTTTTATCTTATAGTTGACACATCTTATTTTTTTTTCGATTACACTATTCACCTTGTGAATAATGTCTAATAGGGACGTAATTCCTTCTGCACACACGGCAGATTGGGGGTGGCCTAACGACCTCCCCTCCTGGTCGACGATCGGAAATGTTTCAAATATTTACTTTGCGATCATAAACTTTTTTATGGAGTTTCAAATCATTATTTCTATGTTCGTCCATTTGTATTTCGCCGTTTTGAATAATACAAGCAAACACGTGTAAGTAAGTAATGTGTGTACAATTATTATATATATATGTGTAATTGAATTGCTTTCAAGGGTGCAATACTAAAAGCGGCGATGATATTCCATTGAGATCATTTCCTCCGCTTCATTCTCTATTGTTCGAGCAATGGAAAATTGCTACGTTGAATGAATCATTGAAAATATGGATAAGGAGCGTATAAAGTGTATTAAGAGAGTTTGTAATCTACATTTCACTGAAAACCTGTCTTTCAATTTTACGATTTTCCAATGTTAATTGAAAATTTGTTGAAAGTAGTAGAGCAAGAAGAAGAACACGATTAATGGATAATAACAACACAGTAACAATATTTCTCAAACTGAAAGATATTGTAACATATTTAATAAGTAATAAATCGCTTGATGTTTAATTCGATTAATGTTTAAAACCAAAATATTAGACGTTCTGTTTATAAAGGCAATTTTTTTAATGAAAAAACGCTCTGAAATCATTCATTGACCATTCTTATAACCAAAGGGCTATCGATCCAGATCTTGCCTACCTCAATAAGTCGTCCTCGCTCTTATTTAATTTAAATATTGACAATTTGATTTATACATGAAATAAAGTGATTTATTTTATGTACATATATTAATAAAACAAAGTCATCAAAATATTCTATTTTTTATTACGTTATGTAACGATCTTTATTCTTTTGTTGGAATTTATTTTAGCTGTCTTGCGTATTCCGGTACGTACCCTCGTTTTTAAATATAAGTTTTTAATGTCAGCGTTCTTCATCCAAAATCGGAGAGTAGCAATCGCAGGTAACGGGTATCCCTTTCCTATTAGCAATTTATAGAGTCTAGGCCCCGTTGCATAAAGAACAACGGAATTGCTAATATCTTCTTCAGACCATCTGGGTCGTTTGAGAGGCTCGTTAATTTTCTTTATTTGCGCTGGCGAAAAGATGCTCTTCAAGCCCTTCGTTTGCCATTCCAAAATAGCATTCTTCTGCTTCAAATCTGAAATTGTTTTTTGATTATCCGAAACACCTTCTGTATTAGTACTAAAATAAACGGAAGAGTTATTTTTTTATGTAAATATAAATTAAAATTAAAAAGTACGCAATACTCCTTTTGGTAATAAATAATCTTTGAGAAGAGCTTTTACATATCGTTTCAGAGTGCTTTCCTAACAATTCTGTATTATATTTCAAATTTATATGATTGTTTGAAGCACCTGGAGATTTGTTACTAAAAAATACAATAGTTAACATTTTTGCATTAATAAATTCAGAGTAGAAAGTACTCATTACTCATGTTGGCAAGAAGTGATGTTTGATTCAAACTGTCAGTATTATTTGTCCTTTCATTCTTATCATTTCCATCTCTAGAACCTTCACCTGTTACCTGCATCTGCCTTTTTACAATGAAAATACTCTTTAAATCTGAAACAATTAAATGTTTTTTTGCAGGATCTTGTATATTGATTCTGAAATAGATATTATTGAGTCAAATTTACAACAACATATGCGAACTTTAAAATACCCTGTTTTGTTGGATCTGATGGAAGATTGATGCACATTTTCTAAATTAATTGTTTCTTCAACATTAACATTGCCTACACCAGAGAAGTCATTGCAAATACTAATTAAAAATTAGACAAATTTAAGTTTAGTACTAAATAAATTAAATCATTACAGGGTCTTACTTTGATTTCTCTAAAATAAATACTGTGTTTCCCTTTTTTCTTGGAACAGGTTGCTCATTATCATTCTGATCCATCATATTCTTGTATCTCTTTAATGATGGAACTACTCCTTTTTTCAATTGCCTACGATTTTTATTTACATATCCTAACAACTCTTCTTTCAAACAACGTTCGTAGTCTGTTTCTTTGTTGAAATGCAGCTCACAGATTCTGGCATTATTTACATTAAACTTGTCCGCACGTGAACAAGCATTAATCCATTTGTCGCAAACGACTGGATCTTTAACGGGAAATCGAAAAAACTTTATTGTTCTATCGAATTCCCTCTTTGTCTGATTATCACTGTTGCATCCGAATACAGCACAACGCATGTTAGGTAATAAAAATCAGGACTAAGGGGGCATAGAAGTGTTTGGGAGCTGCAATGTTACAAGGTTTAAAATATGTGCTTGTTTTGTAATATTTAGCTTACATATCAGAGGTTATAAAGTAGCTCGAAAACGTTTTCTTTGGATGTACATAAAAGCCAATAAGAATCTAATAACAGAGTTAACTGAATCAAAATCTAATTGTTATTTACGTTATTCCGTTTTGTCTTAGTATTAAATCAAATTATTTGTTTACTCTCCGCGAACGTAACCTCCAACTTGCTCCAACTCGTCACCACCGCAAAAACACATTTTAAATTCATAACGACATTGGAACTAGCTATTCGTCGCATTACCGACATACCACTGTTTATTTTACAAAGTTTAAAGTATATTCCATTATATAAAATGAAATTCTTTTGGAAATATTAAATAATAAATTGGATTAAAAAAAAAGAGAAATCTCAAGGATCGATTTTTTTTATTACTTTTTAGTTTTCTTTATTTTGTTGGATATTGTTTTATCCCTCTTAGTTCCACTATGCATCTTCGTTTTTAAATACAGGTTTTTAATGTTAGCGTTCTTCATCCATAATCGGAGAGTATTGATCGCAGGTAAGGGATATCCTTTTTCTAATAGCAATTTGTAGACTTTTGGTCCATTTGCAAAAAGAACAATGGAATCACTAATATCTTCTTCCGACCATCTAGGACGTTTGAGTGGTTCGTTAATTCTCTTTATTTGCGCTGGCGAGAAGATATTTTTCAAACCCTTCGACTGCCATTCCAATACAGCAATCTTCTGCTCCAATTCCGCAATAATTTTTTTACTATCTGAAGAACCTTCGGTATTAGTTCTGAAACAGTTATACTAGTTAAAATTTGAACACCGACATATATACAAGGTTTTAAAATACCCAATACTTCTACTAGTAATTATTAATCTTTGTGAAACGTTTTCAACATTCACCGCTTTTTCAATACTTATATTTCCACTGCAGGAGCTACCTTTTGTTGCATTTGAGAGTGTCTCTACCAAACCTTCGATTACATAGTTCTTTGATGGACCTTGTGCGTTGATTCTATAATTATATAACAGGTAAAATGTTTATATTAACAAATATAAAGTTTAAAGTACTCAGCACTGCTGTTGGTTGTAATGTTGCTGCTAGCACAAGATCTGATACAATCCACTTTCAAGTGGTTTCCTAATAAATTTGTAATAATTTCAGTATTATTTGTTGGATCTTCTCTCTTGATTCTAAAACATATATATTAATTAATATTTGTTCACCAACAAAATTTTAAATTGAATATACCCATTACTTGTATTGGTAGCAAGTGATCTTTGAAGAATGCTTTCATCATCCAGTGCTTTTCCACTATTAATATTGCCAGCACTAAATTTGTCACTTTTGACTTTGAAGTTATTTCCTAATAAAGCAGTATTCTTGATATTAATAATAATTACAGGTTTATTTTCCGACTTTTCTATCTTTACTCTAAAAGATATATATTAGTTAATATTTTTTTATCACTAAAAAAAATTAATGTAATATACCCACTATTCCTATTGGTGCTTTCATCATCCACTGTTTTTTCACTATTATTATCATTATTGCCAGCACTAGATCTGTCACCTTCAACTTGCAATGGATTTCCTAATGAACCAGTATTCTCTCTATTAATAATAATTACAGGTTTATTTGATGACTTTTCTATCTTGATTCTAAAACATATATATTAGTTAATAACTTTAATGAACAAAATATAAAATTTAAAATACCCACTACTCCTATTGGTAATTTGTGATTTTTGAAGAATATTAATAGTTTTTTCTCTATTATTATTACCAAAACTTCTAGTGCCACCTTGCACTTTCAATTGCTTTCCCAATAAAGTAATATTTTTCAAATTTCTAATGATTACAGGCTTCTTTGCAGGTTTCTTTGTTTTAATTCTAAAACATGTATATTAGTTATTTAAAAAGAAAAATTTAATTTGAATACTGAGTCTTCTTGGTACTAAGTGATAAATCATTTTCATTTTCCAAGAGAATTCTTTCTTCAATCCTAATATCACCTTGCCCAGAGACATGATCACTATAAGAGATTCAAGCAAAAACTCAGTAATTTGTAAATTAAGTAATTACAAGTACTTGAATACTTACTTGGATTTCACTAAAGCATATATTGTTTTTGCCTTTTGGCCATGAACATAGTTATTCAACATTAATGTTGGAACTACTCCTTCTTTCAACTGCCTCCGGCTTTTATTTATTTCCCCTAGTAATTCTTCTCTCAAGCATCTTACAAAATCTTTTTCTTTGCTGAAATGGAGATGACAGATTCTAGCAGTAGTTACGTTGAACTTATCTGCTCGTGAACAAGCATTTATCCACGTTTCACAAATATCTGGATCTTTTGGAAAACGAAAAAAATTCATGGTTTTGTTGATATATTTCTTTGAGTTATTGTTACTGTTACAACCAAACACAGCACAACGCATTTTAGTTAAAAAATAAATCAGAATAAGAAAGGCTAAAAAGTGTTGTGATACTGCAAGTGTATAAAGTTTGTAATAAATATTTATCTTACAATGTTTATCTTACATATGAGAGGTTATGAACAAGATCAGAATTTACTCTGGAAGACTGCAGACTTAATATACCTACATTGAAGATACAATTATAGTAGTACCAGATTATTATATCCAAATCTATATGCATTTACGACTTTTCGTTTAGTATTTAGATAAGCCTTGTTTACATTTCGAGAACGTAGCTTACTAGATCAACATGCTCAATCACAGTTTAATATTTCGTCCTCTTTCGCGCATGATGTTTATGGTGACCGCTATGATCTATAAAAAAATGCGCACACATCACGTATTTTGAAAAATACGTAAATTTCATTGCTCTCATTTACGATCTTGGTGACCGTCAATATGCGCTCGAGTATACTCAGGATATTTGATCGATCACGAACAAAACCATCTCAAGATCGAACAAGCCTATGTAGAGTAATTATTGGTAATTATCGTTGTAACATGTTTTTTCTTTCATAGCAATATTTCCCATAGTGCGGCTTCAAGTAGTCCGGTCTCACTATAGTCCGGTTTTAACATTGAAAAACAAACACAATTATAATTAGGAAAAATAAAAAAATATACATAATTATTTTGTTATCCATAAATAATCGTTTCTTTTGCTCTATATAGTCAAGTCATTTGATGCGTTTACTTTCCCATGTATATAGTTCTTCGATTAGATTAGTTAAAATTATCTGGACACCGTGGAATATTTTGGTATTATGTCGTTGTGGAGTTTATGAATATTAAATATAATATACTCTTAAGATTTAATGATTCAAATAGTATTTCTATTAAGTTGTAGGCTTAATGAATATAAATAATAATTACTCAATAGCTCTATACGAGCAATTTTGACTGTAAATATGCATGTAACTGCAATATTGTGCAATATTTGTATAATAAATATGTTGATATTTATTTTGTAAATAGTGGAATACTGGTATCGTGTATAGCCTTGAAAAGTTTGATTATAATCCATTCTTAAACCACAATATATGAGGAAAAATATGGAAATAAAATCCAATTTATTAGTAGGCAACGTTTCATTTCAAATTTAATAACGAAAACTATGGTGGAAAGATTGATTGATTGTCCTTTGATCACATTTTTTGACCAATTAATATGTTAAATAAATAATAATAATAAATTTAAACTCTATTTTAACTGGCTGTTTATAAATATTTTTTAGTCGATGTAAGTGCAAGCTAAGTTGTATACCTCTATTCTTCTAAGAATGGGGCGATAACAAGAAGAAATGTAGTTGGTTGGTTGGTAGTTCTGAAGAAGTTTGGCAACATTGAATTTACTTTGGCGCCTTATTTTTGGAGGGTATTTAATACGGTTGCACTCTGTATTGCAGTTATTATATTTTGTACTGTTGCGTTAGTGAGTTATATATTATAAAGTAAGGTGTTTTTTTTATATTTTTAAGTGTATATTACTAACTAATTGTTTGTTTCTAATTTTAGAATCATGTCTTCCCTAAACACACATTTTAAAGAAAATATTCTTACTGAAAACAACAGTATTAACATTCAAGGTAAAGCTGTGGAAACATCAAAATCCAATGGTGTTGATGGAAAACAGAAATTCAATGTGGAATTAGAGCCTTTGTTGCGCGATAACCCCAAACGTTATGTAGTGTTCCCAATCGTCTATAATGACATGTGGAAGATGTATGAACAAGCTGAGGCCTCATTTTGGAAGGTTCATGAAGTTGATTTGTCGAAGGACTACAAAGATTGGGAAAAAATGACTTCAAATGAGAAACATTTCATCAAGTATGTGTTGGCATTTTTTGCTGCCTCTGATGGTATTGTCAATGAAAACCTGGTAGAGAGATTCAGTAAAGAAGTACAAGTTATTGAGGCAAAATTCTTCTATGGCATGCAGATTGCCATGGAGAACATACACTCACTGATGTACAGTTTGTTGATAGACACTTATATCAAAGATGTGAAGGAGAAAAGTTTTCTTCTTAATGCAATTGAAACTATTCCATGCGTGAAAAAGAAGGCTGATTGGGCGTTAAATTGGATTTCCAGTCAAGAAGCGACATTCGGTGAAAGGGTCGTCGCTTTTGCAGCAGTGGAGGGTATTTTCTTCTCCGGCAGTTTCGCCTCGATCTTCTGGCTGAAGAAGAAAGGATTGATGCCCGGTCTCACTTTCTCCAACGAGTTGATCTCCAGGGATGAAGCGATGCACTGCAAATTCGCGTGTTTGATGTTTAAGCACGTCGTGCAGAAGCCTTCAGAGGAGAGGGTCAAGAACATCATCAGAGATGCCGTGAAGATCGAACAGGAGTTTCTTACCGAAGCCCTGCCTGTATCTTTGATCGGCATGAATTGCGGACTTATGTGTGAATACATCGAATTCGTGGCTGACAAGCTGCTGGCAGATTTGGGAATCGCTGAAATCTACCACTCGCGAAATCCCTTCAATTTTATGGATAACATATCGATAGACGGAAAAACCAATTTCTTCGAAAAGAAAGTTGGAGAATACCAGTTAGCCAAAATCACCGATGAGTTCGCCATGACGGACAATTTTTAATTTAATTCTCATTTAAAAGAAAACTTATTTTTAATTACTTATAATTATTCTTATTGTAAATACATTGATTTTTCACGAGTTAATGATTTTTTTCTTTAGTAGTCACATTATTAAACGATTACTTAATTTACCCAGAAATTGTACTAAAATATGCAAGAATGATTTCATTGGAAATTCATCATTGCAATTACAGTGAAATGTTTGTGATTATTATATCTGGAAATATCGTAAAATGTAAATATAGTTTTAAATAAATAGACACATACAGCTTTAAATGAATAGACATTCTCTTTTAAAATGAAACGAAGGATAAAAGTTTGTTATAGTCATGTAAAAACCTGCATCAATTAAGTTTTAATGAACAGAAATGTTGGGGAATAGTGCTTGTGGCCACCACAACCTTAATGCGGCCCTGGTTCGGTTTGCACATGTTGGTTCTTGTTTACGTAGCTTTAGTTATTGGCGGGAAATGTTTTCGGATACACAGCAGATGGACGGTATCGTATGGATCTGTTTTAATTCAACAGGTGCAATGTTGCAAGTTTCGATGTGCATTTGGTGTACTTGCTTCTTATATGACATTTAAATAAAGCAGATAATTATGTGGCGTTTAGTATATGTATTTGAATTTTCATTAAACAAAAAAATATTTGGAAACTAAAATTGTAAAAGTTACACAACATTTAATAGAAAGTGTGGTTTTCTTTAGAGAGTACAAACTTGAAAAATGAAAATAAATTCTCATAAAACAAATATACAAGATACACCCGAGCTCATATTGACGGTCACCAAGGCCATAAATTAGAGGAGTGTGATGAAATCAAATCTGGTAATAATTCAATAAGTCATGAAATGTAACAATTCATAATATTATTCGTTTTGATAAGTAACATTCGCGAAAATTGATAAAATTTATCGGCTGTCGTGTAAACCTTGTATAGTATCATATCATACATTGTTATTATATATATATATCTATATGTGTTAATAATAACTTTATCCACGAGGAAAAGATATTCTCATGAGTTTATGAGAACGACACGATAGATGACTTATTTGTGGTACCTTGAAATTAATTTGAGAATGGTAAAATAGAGAGATGAGTCTACAGCGTCTCAATAAGATTACTGTACATCATTGAGACATACTATTAATCTTTTTAAGAGCAACAAATATGTTTTATATTGTATTTCAATTTATTTAAAATTCATTTAATTGACAGAACAATTAATATTTCTAGTCGTTTCTCTGCATTTCTCAACCTTTAATTAATGGCATTAGAAGCCATCCAAATTACAAGCTACCTAAAAAAACTGGTATTTACAAAAGCTAATATATATAAAAAGAAAATAAAAAATGGATTTATTTCCAGTTTATTATTATTCCACAAATTGTTGTACGTTTGCTCCATGTTCAAAAATCTGCTGAAAATGCCAAGTGATATTGGAATGTCCGTTCCGAATACGTTCAGCACGAAAAAATACATATTTTAAAAATTATTATAGTACAATATAAAAATCTTAATTCACAAAATAAAATTAAATATCTTACACTTATAGAATGAAGTAATTGAAATAATAATATTAATAATTATAGTTATAATGTTTTAATAATTGATGGTATTCATCTTCAAATGTGGCATATATTTCATTTCAATTTTTGACCAATCGCTTTTCATGCATGCTCATTTCCAGAGGTCACTAAATTGTTTTATTGATTAATACGTTTTATTATTATGCGCCTTTGGTCTAGCCAGCCCTTGTGCCTAATTTTTTGAGTACATGAAGTCCCTGCTCTTCGTACTCTTGCTTGGACATCCAGAAGGTGTCGCGGTCCTTCATCACTTCGGCCAAAACCGCTCCTCCGATGAACACCATGTCTTTGCGCCTGGGCGGATCCTCAATGCGGATCTTGAACTTTGTCAGTTTGTCGATGTCATTTTTGAGCACCCGTTCCAGGTACAGTTGTTTGATCTCTCTCTCCAACCGTGATGGCAGTCCTGGGTACATGGTGGAGCCTCCGGACAAGACGATGTGCTTGTACAATTCGGAACGCATATCAATGTCGGCCGCCTGGAACACAATTATTAAATATTCATGACAACACTCTTGGGTTACTTTGAATGCCTACCTGTATTGTTGAGAACACCAGCTCTGCAATGCCCTGTCCTTCGACGTTTATCAAATGCGGCTGAAACAGGGCTTCGGGTGCTTCAAATCTTTCTCCGCCTACCTTTATGACTCTGCCATCGGGTAATGTGTAGGGTTCAACGAGAACGGTAGTTTCTAAGGCTAACCGTTGTTCAGTCTCGATGTCGTATCCGATGTAACACAACTTCTCTTTCATCATTCGCACCGTCTCGAAATCAGCGGAGTGGTTGAAAGCATAGCCCCTGAGCAATAGCAACTTAATGAGGTATCTGGTTATGTCTCTACCGGCGATGTCTAGACGTCTGGTCAGATGGGGCAGTGCGAACTCCTCATACACGGGACATATGTGCGTTACTCCGTCTCCAGAATCAACCACAACTCCGGACAATAATCCCTATGCAAAATATTAAAGATCATCAAAGAAATTTTCAATTTCTCCAATATTACCTGAGCATATAACGTTAATACGGCTTGAATAGCAATGTAACTACCAGCGAATCCGTACTTCTCGAACATGACCTCAATCATTTTCTCCCGATTCTTGATCGGGTTCATCGGAGGTTCCGTCAGCAATATCTGAGATAATCATCATTTTTTTTAGATATTCAATAGACACACACAGTTATCCTGTCACCTTAGTTTCCTTTGGATCCAAGTCCATCTTTTTAGGTCCAAATGTGTAATCCCAAACATGACACATATCATCCCAATTCCGGACGACACCATTCTCCATGGGGTAGTTGACTTCCAGAAGTGACCTAAGTGCTGATGCCTCATCTCCAACCATCAAATCCTAAACACATTACAAAAAAAAACTTATTTAAGTGAATAGTAAAACCAAACAAATATAGATAGTACTATAAAAATTAGTTCAAAATTTCTTTCTACATATTTACTTACAGGAAGCGTACTTGCCACTCCCTGTGTGAGCGTGCATAAACATTCAGTTTTAATAGGTGTTTAATAATAAAAAAAAATATATCAATAAAACACACAATATCAGTGTTACTTGAAAGTAATAAAATAAACAAGCTGTTATAGAAGCAGGAACAACTATCAAAACAAAATGTAAATAAGTCTTACATCAACGTGTAACCCCTAGAAAAGTAAATAAAAATAATTCTATTAATGAATGCAATGTGAATGTAGTATATATATAATATATATGGAGAGGAAACAATTATGAATCATTTTATCAGTGTTGGTTTCTGATAACACACAATTTGACAAGTAGGTCTATGAAATCATCACTGCCAATTGTTTTTTTTTATGTTGCCGATTTCTCTTTCGCTACTTACTTTGACTTCGATGTCACCAATTTTGTTGACGGCGCGGATGATGGGCCTTCCGACCATCGAGGGGAAGATGTGAGCTGGGAAATTGCTACCGGCATAGCCGCATTTAACGAACTAAAACAAAAACATTGCAGGTTATGTGGCTGTGGGGGCAGATCCTAATCGACCGATGTTCTTACCCCGGTACCATTATCACAAACGATCACTTTTCTGCCTTGACTATCCATTTTCACATTTAAAATTAAAAACTACCCAAAAAACCATACAAAACTACGGTAATCAAATAAATCAGTGAATCATAATCCAACCGAACGACTACCACACCTCAAGATGACAGATTGTATATTTGACAACACAGAGTGGTCAAATTGGATCTGTTGGCAGCGACATCTGTCTAATGCGACATGAATTTGTAAAACGTATTAAAAGGTGAGTCAACACCGTCCATGCGCGGTGTATAGTTTTGTTTACTTTTGAGCTCGACGATTTGTTTCCTTTAGAGATCGACGATTTCTTTACTTTAGAGAATAGCGATGACTATTTTTGACGCCATTGTTTCAGAAACGTTTGTGATCTGTGGTACAGTGTTCCTTAAAACTTTAAAATGTCTACTCCAGGCTTCTTTTGTTCTGTTTGTGCAAAAACATATGCAAACCATTCAATTGTTGTGATGTTGTGATTTTACATGGTAAACTTTTAAATTGTTTTCATTATTGCAAATTATTTAATTTATATTACAGATCAGTTAAATGAAATTGCTCCAAATAAGATGAAGTATAATTGTGAAATTTGTTCAGAAAGTTTTAACAACAAAATTATTTTCAACAAACATCACAAGGTTCATACCTCAGGACTGAAATGTCCTTTATGCGAAGTTATTGATGTCAAACCAGCATTAATTCAACGTTTTACATTGGTTCACAATATAGATATCAATATTGAACATCATGACAATTGACAATTGAAGAATTTAATAGCTGGAAGAAACAGATAGAAGAAGAAAACACATTATCCTTTCCCCACGATAATAGTACATTCAAATCTACTACCTATACCCAGACAAGATATCAGTGCCATAGGTCAGGAACATATCAAACAGGAAAAGACATAAGCATTTTGTCCTGCATCCATAATTCTACCATAATACCATAAAAATAGTATTTACAATGTTAAATATACAAGTACCCACATAGGACACACAAATGAATTATGTCATGTTTCTATTCCAAAAAGTGACAGATTGAAACTGTAATAGAGGACAGTAGAGATACCCTTAAAGATTCGAACTTGGAGCAAATTCATCTTCTCACAAAGCAGGACTTAAGAAATATAAAAAGGGACTTTCATTTAAATAAGTCTGTAATTCGAAATGCAAATGATGCAGAGAGTGTAGATTTGTGGGTAGAAGAACTAACAAGCAATGACCTTTCTATAAAAGACAAAATGAACTTTGAACAGAATTCTCTTTCTTAAAGGAAGAGGATTTTGTGCTGATCATTATGATTGCAGCACAAAAGGAAATGTTGAAAAAGTAAGGATCAGACTGCATATGTCTGGATGGAACACATGGAACGAATTGGTATGGGTTTGAGTTGCACACATTATTGGTGTTAAATGATGCAAGAGAAGGATTCCCATGTGCTTTTTTGATATCAAATCAGTCTGATGAACAGTTTTGGCTTTATTTTCGTCCATTAAGGACAAATGTGGGTTGAAGATAAAGCCAAAAGTGTTCATGTCAGACATGGCTGATTCATATTATAATGCCTGGGTGCTAGTAATGCATCCACCTGAATTTAGGTATTGTTGAACTATTCATATTATATTATATGAGTAACTATAATTTATTATTTTGCATGGCATGGCATGTGGACCATGCATGGGGAAAAATTTAAAAAAATAATTTCTCAAGAGAAGCGGGTATATATAGACTGGTAAAGTTCGAAAACATTTGAATATTTATTAATTTCATATTTAGGAAAGTGTACATACAAAATTGAAACTTATTCTCAAACTTATTATATGAAAAAGAAGGAATCTTGGACATATTGCTATCGTCTCAATGCTCTCAAATACTAATATGCATCTGGAAAGGATGCATAGAACAATTAAATATTTATATTTACAAGGAAAAAAGGCTGGACGTTTGTATACACGCCATATTAAAATATGTAAGAGACAAATCGTTTGACAATATTATTATGGCGTGTAAGGGGAAGATTACGTCGAAAATTAGTAATTTAAGACGTAGTCATAAGGACAGTGAGAAACTGGACCTTGGTACTGTACTGATTGGGGACAAAGGTGGATACGAGATCTATAAAAAATCAAATCAGATATTTACTGTTTACGAAAATAAAAAGTCATGCTCATGCAATATGTACTGTAGCAAATGTGAAATGTGGATGCATGCATATTGCTGTACATGCACTGATTATAGTATTCAGTGGAATATGTGCAAACATGTACATTTAGTACAGAGGTATAGGAAGGAACATCCAGAGTCAGTTCCAAAATCAGAGGAAATTTGTTCGGGTAATTATGTTGCAATTAGAATCCATCATGATTAATTATTTTATCCTTTATTTCAGACAATGACAGTGACGAAGACTGCGACCGAGGTGACATAACGTCTACTATAGTTCATTGTGTCAGCAAGAAGGTGGAGGACACATCAAGATTGGAGCACGCTAAACAATTGTTAATAAACAAATTAACAGTAGCCGTGCAAAATATTAGTAGTGCGGAAGAATTCCGCCAAGCATCGGTTTTATGTGAAGAGGAACTACTTAAGCACTTAAACTCCATTCACTCTGCACTCTCAACGTCTTCTGCACCAACACCAATGTTGTTATCTTCTGCTCCATCTACGTCTTCTGCACCAACAACATCTGCTCCATCAACATCTTCTGCTCCATCGACGTCTTCTGCACTCTCAACGTCTTCTGCACCAGCAACATCTTCTGCTCCATCAACGTCTTCTACACCCTCAATGTCTTCTGCACTCTCAACGTCCTTTGCACCATCAACCTCCTCATTTATTTCAACGCACAATAAAAAAATTAATCCCCAAAGGAGGTTGTTCTCCACAAAAAAATACAAAAATAAGCAAAAAAGAAGACAGAAAATATTGATATTTTGTCTTTTTAAATGTTATGCAATCCAAATCAATTTAGTTTAGAAGAAGACTAAAAACAAAGAATTATTATTTATTTTTTATATTATATTTTTGTTTTCTTTTATTATAGTTTATTTTAATGTTTATAAATTACAATTATTTATTTTGATAATATGGGTATTTTCATATCCACTCTAGTGAATTCCTAGGGTCGGGGAATTGTTTGCGACATAGCGCGTATACGCACGTTAGAATATTTTAAAATATTCTGGATTTTTCTTATGGGCATGCGCACATCATAGAACTCATATATTGGGATCGGATGCTCGAACGCTCCAAAATAGAGATTAAATGTCGTTGGGGCAATCTAAATTATAATTAAAGACTTTAGAAAAGTATATTAACATTTACTTCATTATTTATAGTTGATTAAAGTTAGTTCTGTTATTAATTACTAAAAAGAGACTCTGGTTGCATATCTTACATTGAGGAAATGTATGATAAAAGTATAGAAGGTATGCCGGAGTGCATAGTTAGTTAATTTTTGTGTTTCTTAATTTTTTTTGTCTGCAATCCTCTTTTGCACTTAAAAAATTCCTCCCCGAAGAATGGGTATGAGTAGAAAAACATCCCGTCTCATCTTTCATCAAATTTTTGGCGATCCTCAAAAAAATTTTGGGGCCGATAAACCATAAGGGGGTAGAAAATAGGGGGTAAAAAAACGGCCAAAAAATGTTCATCATGACTGGAAAGTTCGTGCCGATTTTAGCTAAACCAAATTATATCAGAATTGTTAAAAACAATTAACTTATATATTTTTTGTAAGGTGACGTTTCAACCGTCTTTAGATAAAAGTTGTTGTAAACCAGTGGTTTCCAAACTGGGAGGCGCGCGCCTTTTCGGGGAGGCGTAGTAGCATAAAGTTTGGAAACCGCTTTTGTAAACTGACAAACATCATTTGAAGATGGAAGAAAAAAGTGCATTTTAGACTTTGATACTTTTCTATTACTGGAAAGCCAAAAATGCCATTAAAAGAATAATTAAGAACTATTCTGCTTTCGGAGAAGTTGCTTTAGAAAGTTCAGTCTTGACTCGACATTGGTCGAGAATAATCCCACTACAACACGACACATGATTTATCAAAGATATTAAAAATATCAAATATATTTTTTTTTTAAGCTTGGTATATAAACCTTTACGATATATGAGTTTCGCACAATTTAATTAACAAGAATCATGACAATATTAGCACTTATATATCTTTGACTACACTATAAAAAATGTTGGAGTCAGAAAATGTTGTGTTACTCAATCCGTTGTATTCACCAGACACTTTTCCAATTTATTCGGGTCTTTACAAAATTCCATTAACGAAAAATCTTATAAATTTTGGGAGGATGTAATGTTCAAGTTGCGTAAAAGGTGTATACATAAATAAAAATGTATATATCGATGTATACAAGTTTTTATTTTTAATTTTTTTGAAAAATCGGCACGAACTTTCAGAACTACTCAATATCATGCTGAAAATATTATTCTGTTACATTTGGCTTGATATATTGTTACTTAATTTTGTCAATCTGACACTACGGTCACCAAAACATCATACGCGAAAGATGACAAAAATTTAACGGCTGTCGAGTGTTCGTTACACATTAGTAGATTGGTGTGCAACTTCAAATCTATTCCTATTATATGCTTTTAGCCCAATTTCATCGCAGAGTCGTTAACGAAATCATAGACAATACTTTAATCTATCAATTATTGATTTTGAACATTATTCATATACCAAGTGTTTTCAACCTTTTTTTTCTCTCAATGCACTTCCCCATCAATCTTATACACATATAATGCTTTGGATTTAATTGGAAAATAACCCCATCCTTCTTTTATTGTTCTATAATTAAATTAAACATATTTTAAAAATTTTGCTGCACAAGTAGATTATCTCATGTTTAACCAAACTGTTAACTATTAGCCAAATACATATCAAACTAAGAGCACGTGATGTGTTTAATAACAATAATGAGAATGGGATTACGTAAATGTTTACAAATGCGATAATTTTTAATTAGGATACTCTAATATTTACCTGATTCATTTATTATTTGTTTTACCTACATGTGAATTATTATCTTTATTATTATAATTTTATATAACTTGCCCAATAATAGTAATTATAAAAATATGTTTCTTGAAATTATTATTTTTGATCTACATTCAAAATTATTTATTGATTAATAAAAACATACTATATTATTTTTTGAAAATATTGTGTAATGCGATTAATATGGTATGTTTTCGGCCTTTCGATAAATCAATTTATCAAATCAGAAATCGTTCTAATGTTGTGAATAGAGAAGACAAAAAATGATTAGTAACACTCCAGTCACCTTTATTTACAAAAATCCATAGAACATTTGAACAAAGACGTTTAGCGTATTTCTTCAAAAATTGAGATCATTAAGTTTTCTGGAAAGAAGAAATTCAAGCTATACCTTTAAAAGATTTCATAAATACAGTAAAACGTCGATTATCCGTCGTAATTTGGGAACGTTAAAGCACTGATAATTGAAAAACATGGTAAATACAAACATCGCTTTCATTTGCTTGAAAAACTTAATATATATGTATTGATATACAAAAATAAATTTTTAATCATATTAAAAGATAATCTGTATTATTGTATTGTTTTCCGTATAAAATTATTTTTTCTTTATTTATTTAAAAAAAAATAATCCCTTATTGTTTAGATTATAAAATAGCAAACATTAAGACGTCCACGAACATGGTTAACCCGAACCACTCTAAATTGAGACCCGGATAATCGGTGTATTACTGTATATTCAAAACCCTGAAGAAGTGACTTCCTTAAACACTAAAATTAATTAAACCCAGCTCGGTAGCACTATATTTTCTTTTTTGGAAATGTTTACAGAACATTTTTGAAAAACCGGTATTTTTTTTTAAGTTTAGAAACCACTGTACTAATTAAAATTCTTCAAAGAAATAACTTCATATGTTATTAATACGAAAATCGTATAAAAACTAGTTTATCTATGTTTTAAATTTTAAGGTATTTGAGCTATAAATATATTAGTATAACCTTCGGGTTAAAGAGCATCTCGAGGATGAAAACACCGGGAATTTATTATATTTAGTATATATGTGTTAAATGTATCTTCAATTATATAGACATATTAATGTATTGCATAATTAATTTGTATGTCCTTCAGATGAATTTTAGTTTATTTTAGTCAGGGACACTATTATGAAAATTTCAAACATACTTAAAGTTAACCTAATAATTATAAAATATAATTTCAACAGTATTTTTTTATCATTTGAAGGGCTATTATGAAAATATATATTTATTGAAACAAAAAATAACCGAAAAATAACCCTTTTGGCGGATTTATTTATTTATTTTTTATTTATATAGAATATTTTGACAATAAATTATGATTATTAATTATAAACTTATTATTTATTAAATAGAATTAATAAATATAGCCGAACGTTTTAAACTTTAACTTTAAACATTGAATAAATTGTATATACAGTGGTACCTCAATATACGAGTGCCCTAATATACAAGTGTTTTGAGATACGAGCCGCCGAGCAAGCGATATTTTGCTTTGAGATGAGAGCAAAATTTGAGAAATCGCACACTACACCGCTGCACACAACTCCCTAGTTTTCGAGCAAGGTTTCGGAACGAATTAAACTCGTATATCGAGGTACCACTGTACCACCAGCAACGGCTCATGACAATATAAACAGGTGGGGGCCATAGACCAAAAACGTGTTGGAAATAGATCAAATATAACAATTACAATAAATATATTTTTGAAACTATATAAGTGGTGCACTTCATCTAATGCCCCTATAGATGATCCGCCCTGAATACAGGGTTAAGGGCAACGGTCCTTCTCCCTGAAGATGATTCATGCTCCTTAGCAATGTATATATAATTTTCTTTGAATAAATATAATATTTCTTGGTATCGTATTTTACATGAAGGAAAATGGAAAAAAAATGTTTCACTTAACGAATGTTTCGCATTACGAGTAAGAGTTTGGAACGGATTATGCTCGTTAAGCGAGGTTCCACTCTATATCATTTATTTTTGTTGATTTCACCTGTAATGCACATGGCACATGGGTTGTCCCATTTTTACTTAACGTGTTAAAAGGCCTAAATTTCTAAATTTCTAGAACCAACAAATTTCTAGACTACGAAATCAGACTTCTTCGTCAACATTGGATGGTATGGATTATCAAAATAATTAATTCTTTCTTCTTGGGCATTTTCTAGAAAATTATAATAATACCCCACCCCAAGATTTAAAGTCAAATAACTTATTTTGAACTATTTCATTTTCATTTTATACACATGAATCGTAAATTTCCTGTTTGACTGGCATTCTTAATTATTTATTATTATTTATTTATTTCATAATTAATTTTAGTTATAATTATTTGGAGAAAATAATGGTTACAGAAAAAAAAGATACACGATGATAATAGGAATGTATTGTAAATTGAACGATTTTTACTAGGGGTTTGATTACTGGTAAACCGATTACTGAAATTATCGATAAATTTTGCTAAGAAATACTGATAATTTTGTCTATTATTTTGACTCGGATTCAAATTCCAATCGAACGAATGGGAAATTATTTCGTCTATCTCCAATAATGAAGTTCATTGATACTACGTCATTAATTTTGGACGGAATTTTTTGATTTTGGATAACAGGACAATTAAAAAAATGCAAAAAAGTCTTATTAACTAAAAATATTCAAATGCCATTTACAGAACATGTAATTAATATTAACATGGCAATATCTACATTTATATCTATAAAATTGTCTATAGAAGGTGCACCTGATTGTACATTTTTTATTGCCGATGTTACCCATAAATTTATGAATGATAAATTCTCTTAGCAAATTTTTACGTATTCAAGATCGACACATAATTTTTCGGATTTTTTCTACTTTTTTTTACAATTTGTGAATAATCATCTAGAAATTAGGGATATCTATCAATAAAATAATAAAATTTCAAGAACTACTGTTTGAAGATTTTATAGCTGACGTTAAAAACCAAAAATTTGAACAAGTCTGAGTGTTTTAGAGCAGTGGTCCCCAACTTGGTTAGTATCCGTTCCGTGTATTAAATGGTACCAGGCCGCCCAAGGAATTAAATTATTTTCATTTTATTTTAACTCACTAGAATCTACTAAATTCTTCGTAGAGGAAAAGCCTTTATGATTTAGCGTCTAACGTAGGGCATAACAATCACCATCGTTTTATTCATGCTGTAAGATTCTACATTGTATTACATTTTCACCAAGCAAATACTTTGAGTAGTGATTTTAATAATATAGTAATACATCGTTTAGTCCAGTTTAAATTAGTCTGGATTTACTATAATCCGGTATGAAAATTTCCAATAAACTAAATTTTAATTGAGAAAAATAAATTCTAAAAAAATAGAACTTAAAATAGTACACAAACAATCGAGTTTTTCACTTTATCAAGTCACTTTTTGCATTTTATTATTTTGTATTTAGCTCCTAGACTATATGAGCTATTGCTGTAAAAAACTATGAATAATCTAGGAAATTATGAGTTAATTAATATACTTTGATCATCACGCGCATGATCAGCAATGCAATTGAATTTGCATTTAGTTCATATGAATCTATAAATTAGACTTATTGAGGTCGTCTACAACAAAAGGAATCCACTCATTGAATATTCTTTAGAATTAACAACAACAACAGCAAGAAAAAAGGTTATTTAGTATATGCTTTTTGATGTAATTTATAATGGAATTAAAGCTATTTCGATTAGTATTAGCATTCACGAGAATGCCACCATCTCTAAAAGTCCATCAAATAGTTCAAAAGAGTATAGTAAAGGAAAACAATCAAAGGTGATTTTAAATAGGAAAGAATTGAATCGTGAATTACGCAGTTCGTGGCCCAGAGAAATAGACGGAGACCCACTTTGAATGGATTTATAAAAAGTCCAATTTGCATAGTTCAATTAAAATCGGGTCATTAACGTACATCAGAGTTGCATACCTCGTTGTTTTGTGCTCTTGTCGCTCACTGTCGCACTCTCGCAATTTGGATTGAGCGCTCGCAGTTCGGTTAGCCCCAAAGAGGTAGTTATTTGCTGAATGAAGCGCACTCGCGACTTGCATCATTTATTTTCTGCAATTCGGAACCTTGGCAAAATGCAATGCGGCTCTGCTTTTCAAGTACCATCTTGAGTATGTTCGAGGACTTCTCTCGCGTCGTTGCTCTTTCTAGTCGACTCCGCTGACATAAATCTTGACCGACCAATTTTGGTCCTACGCAGAATTCCTAATCTCCGAGTAAATTGATATAATTTATGTATAGAGTTAAGATGACTACAACAACTACTAGAATAATACTATTTACAATTATTTTACATTAATTATTATTTCATGATATATTTATTAGACTCACCATAATATTATTTCTCATTCCGATGCAATATTGAGATTTTAGTCAAAACTAAAAGTAACTCTTTCTACGTGAAGTACTTATGATTGAAAAGTCTAAATACCGGGGTGGTTAACAAAAAAAACAGCATAACCAGTGATAATTGTTAATTACTGTTAACTATCATCGAAAAATCAAGTTCATTATTAAGTTTGCATCGCAATAAAGCTTTTACTGTTGATTCAGCCGTTCTACCTCTTTCTTCAAACCATATGTTATTTGTTCAGTTATCCATTCAGCAGGATCAGTTGTGCTTGATGGACTAAAGACGTGTTCTATAATTTTGACAATGAAATGTTTTTTGAAAAGACTGAAAAATTGTATACATTTTTCTTCGAAACTTACATTTTTCAAAATGTCATAGTTTAACAACCAAAAAGTTAAATAGTTATTCCATGTTTATTGCATTATTTGTAAGAGTTTCATAATTTAAAGTAAAAATTACTTTGTGGACTATTAAAATCACTGTTCTAAAGGACTCTTCAGATCAAATTGTTCATTCTAAATTCAACGTTCACAATTATTACAATTTATGTTTTAGATTAAAAAGTTTTAGATCTTCAAATAGCGTCATGAAAACAGAAATGCAATTGTAATTATTGTATTTTCTTTCTTTTTCTAATCTATAAATATTATTTTTAGACTGAAATACTGTGACCAAAGGAAATTTTAATTCACTCTTTGATTAACTTAAAAAAATACAATTTTACCCTTTAATTGAAATTTTTAAATTATTCTCGGAAAATTAATTTTAAAGTTCCGGTTTCCCGGTAATAAATAAACATTCATACAATTAGTATAGTAAATATAAATGTTATTTCTAATTTAATGTAAATGGTTTTACGTATATATATCATAATTATTAATCTTTGCGCCTAACATATTTTTTTACAATTACTAAATCAATGAAGATTTAACCCACATATAAATTGGAGTCATTGCCGCGACGATACCCGAAAAGAGAAATAAATATTAATAAATTAAAATTTAGAACCAGATAAATAATGTATCGACGGCAGCAGCTTTATATTAAAAAAAGGTGAATCGCGAGCGAGAAAATTAATACAATTACATAATAATGAATTCATATATTAATTGTGTTCCGATAACAATACCAGAATTCATTACTATCGCGGCCTTGCTTTGAGAAGGCGAAATTATATGTATGTAGTATGTAGATGCGACATTGCAAAAATCCTTCCAATGAATTAATGACGATACAAAAAAAATGAACTCACACACACACATTTAGTGTAGATTCTATTCCTGATAGGGTTTTTCGTTTGTCATCAAAGGTCGTGTTTGTGATTTTGTCGGGATGTTGGTTCTGAATCTTGAGCTTCGACTTTGGCAATAGGTATTAAATAGTTCGACTTTCGTAATCGGAAGGTTATTGTCGTTATAGGACATGGAGGAAGGGAAATGTTTTGGTCACGTATAGTGTGTTAATGTGTCGGCCAAACATCGGTTGCAACTGCTGCACGATGACCATGGGTTAGGATTCGGTAATAGAAAAGTTCAACAAACTGTTGGCCAATGGAACGAATGCAAATCACCATCGTTTCCTAAACACACATACACACCCATACAAAAAACTGAACGTCCATGTGTCCATGTTCAAGTTCATTAATTCATGCATACACAAACACACACACATCCATGCATAAGAGAAATGCATCGCATTGAATGCCTGTGGCATCAAGTTCAAATGTAATCTATCCATTGTCATCAAAGGACGGACCAGGACAGGCGTTGTTCATCCAAAAGCCGAGGAAAACGAAATGGAAATCCATCAAGCCGAGGAGACCTTAGCCGCAGCCTACGGCCAAGGTCATCTCCGACAATCAGAGTTTGAATACAAATGGATGGATGAGGAGTCGACACCGCCGCCAACCGCCACAGGACTTATCTACCCTTGAAAAACACTTCCCACTTCGACTACACTCAGCTGTATAAAAACCAAATGCACTCGCATCACAGTCATCATTCCAAAAATTACCTGCATCAACAGCAACAATAACAAGAGCACACTCACACATAATGATCCATCGAGCAGTTGTCTTCCTGTTGGTTGCCGTGGTAACGGCAAATGCATTCAATAACTGTAAGTACCTGAAACTTGGTTGCGTTTCGAAACGATCGAAGTTCATTTTTGGTGAATCAATCTTTAAGTCGCCGACATCGAGTGCGGGAGGGCTTCGAGGAAGCAGCCGAAAATCGTAGGTGGCGGCGATGCCCTTCCCGGGGAATTCCCTTGGTTGGTTTCGATCACTAGGAGGGGAGGTCACTTCTGCGGAGGTTCACTAATTACCAATAGACATGTTCTGACCGCTGCTCATTGCATCTGCAGGTAATTCTCACTCTCTTTTGCACAACAGTGATTGCTACTCATCTCGGCACAAGTTGAACTTAATATTGAAGCAAATTTAGTGAATGTTATTAATATAAATAATTTCATATGCTTGTTTACTAGTCCAATATCTGACTTAATATATATTTGAACATATTATTTCATCTATTTGATTCTATTCAAAATATATGATATAATTAGTGACAAGCAAACGAATAGTTTTGTATTTTATAGATTTATTACAAAATGATTAGAGCTAAAATTATGAATATTACAATATCTATTTTAGAATGAGATATGTCAAGTTTTGTAGAAATAAACATTTTGATGTTGAAATTGGTGTTTATGCCAGTATAATAAGTTATAAAGCCTAATATCAACAATACACTATTATATGACAGTGTGTCATGTAATATTTATTCTGTCAAAAATTTTATTATCTTCCAGATACGTTATTTTCCATAACGAAGACGAGTTTTTTTTTCTAGATCTGATGCAGATAAGTAGACTTTAAGCTGAAAGAACAAATTTCATAGAATATAGAACTGAACTTGAAGAAATAGAATAATGTGAAAACTAATAGTAAAACGATTTTTTAGAAAATAGATACAATATAAGAAGAATAATAGAATTAAAAATTCCATGAAAATATAATTAGAGCATAAAATGTTTATGTTTATTCTTTTAAGGACTTTTTATATAAGTGATCTATTTTAAATTAACTGAAAATGAACAAATAATAACAAAAGTTATTTTGGTGTATGTTCGATATTAAACACAGAATGTATCGTAAATAATCTTATTTTGGAACTTTCTACTTGAAACACAAGGAAAGTCAGTTCATTGAGATTTATTATGCTTACGATATTTTTTCATAATACTGATAATAATATGCAGTTTAGTTTTGAATGGTAGATTTAAGAAGAGAAAAATATATTTTATTTTTATTATAAAACGTTCGTTTCGGTATACTAAATGAACATAAGCAAGATTAAATGTAAACCTTAGAATCAAATCATATTTTATATAATTTCAATTAATTTATTAAATTCCATTCTTTTTTCATTATAATAAAGCGAATATGAATTGGTATAAGTGCTCTATTATAGTTTATTTATTGAATTTTATGTTTTGAATTAAAAATCTTTTTTTTTTTCAAGTTAGGATTTTTTTTAGTTTGATATGGTTAAATTCGAACGATTATTAGTGGCGTCGGTTATATTCAGGGTATATTATTGTTATATTGATATAGTGAACTCAATTAGTAAATTTGAGTAAAATGTAGCAAACATATTTTATATACAGGCGTTCCTGAATTTACGCCGCACTATTTTTACAAGAGAGTTGTTACGCGTAAATTAGAACACAATTAGCTGTAACTATATCTGTTTGAAGATCTCTCTTCTAATTGCTCATAGACCATGCAGTTTTTCAGTCAAGACTGTGAAGAAAGTTCTAAACATAAGTATGTGTTATGTTTAGAATTCTTGTTTTTGTTTATAATATTGTTTAACAGTAATTGAACTTGATTTATTAAATATCGTTAGTTATCGAAAGTTATAATTATATTTGCAGCGGAGTTGGAAATGACATTTTGAAGCCGGCAAGCATAAAGGTATCTTTGGGACAGTACGATTTGAGGAAAGAGTCGGATGCATACGAGATGACGGTGAGCACGATCACGGCCCACCCCGAATATAAATGCAATAAAGTCAAGAGTGACATAGCCATACTGAAATTGGATCAGCCGATCAGCTGGACATCTAAGGTGTTGCCAGCTTGCCTTCCATTGGGCAGCGATGATCTTGCTTACAGAAAGTACGAAAACATCTTGGCCACGGTTGCCGGTTGGGGATGGACCAACGAAAATAGTTCAAAAGGTGAGTGCAATAAACGTGAAGTGAATGCAATCATTTAATAAAATAACTTTAAACTTCATCAGGTGGACGAGCCAACATTTTACAAAAGGCTAAAGTAAATGTGCTGGAGAACGAGAGATGTAGACAGTGGTACAAATCGCAGGGCAAAAAGACCAAGATCCAAGAGACGCAAATGTGCGCCGGGCATGAGCAGGGTGGTGTCGACTCTTGCTGGGTAAAAGGAGATGGGATAGCGTTGTTAGATATTAGATTACAGGCATTTTGCGGTTTATAGGCAGACAGCGGCGGTCCGTTGATGGTCGACCAGAGCAGTCAGACGATGGTTATTGGAGTGGTGTCCACAGGAATCGGCTGCGCCAGACCGTATCTGCCAGGTATCTACACCAGGGTCTCTGATTTCATACCGTGGATACAATCGCAACTCGGGAATTAAAATTGCTATACGCATAGGAAGGAAACTGTTAAACCAAAAAACAAAACCAAAGATTTTAACTTATATTCATCTATTTAATGCTTCTATGAAGCCAAATAATTATAAAATATTTAAGTATTATTTATGAGAGCTATATTCACAATAAATATGCCGTTTATTTCGGTATTCTAAATGTATATACAAAATATTAAATCTACACTTCCCAGAACAAATCCTATTTTATCCAATAGTAATTAATTTACTAAATTTCATTTGTTTTTAACATTTTTTGTAAAAATAATAAAATATTACAAGATTTGTTAAAATTCTATTTTTTACAATATATTTATAAATATTTTACAGTTTCTAGTATTATTTCGTGCTCCTCAGCTGCACCCCTCATGTGTCCCTGCGGTTGGTATTGCGAGACAGTATTGTCTTTATAGAATTAAGTCATGACGGGACGTCAACTTCACTTCGCCGAAGTTCTATTAGATGTTTTTTAGATTTCAGTTAATCAGTCATCATAAAGTACTTCCATTTTCGACCACATATTCATGTGAGCAAAGTTTATCAACATTTGTCATGCTTCGGGTTACGTTGTCAAATATTGAGCCAAATATAAAACTTTTGTGTTCATTGAATCGGAATTTTAGGAAAATTTTGGTGTGCCGTAGGTGAAAATAGGTTGCGGAGCATTGCTCTAAAACAGCATATTGGTGAGAAGGGTTCAAGAATATAACCAATTACTAGGGAAAATTAAAAAGAAATCCAATCAGCTTCAAAAACGAAATGTACGACCATTGCAGAACGAATTAAGATAAACACAAACAAGTCTGACTCGTTATACCAACCAGGAGAAGCGGCGAAGCACTAAGGAAGTATAAACAAACAATGTAAATTATAAATAATAAATATATTGAAATATAAAAAGTGTTTTTCCAACAATGGATTTATGTGTATATAATCTCAAAAGTTAAATGGAAATATTGGATAGAGGAAGAAGAATAATTTGCGTATTATACAGTATTAATAGTATACACTGTTAGAATAACTATTATGGTTAAATGAATATAATTTTAGTTAATTCAGTTAATGCCGTATTTTTTATACAATTACATTGGATCAGATTGACCAATTTCTCAGTGAATTTATTACGTGTGATGTAAGTAATACGTGTCAAGATTTAAGTAATATTTGTTCCAATAGCTTCGTCATTGCCGATGCATGAATATTCAAGACGAAGATGTATTAGAATTTTTACGGTCTCGGCGCGACCGTACATGGTGATTAATTGCAATTTAAAAGCAATTATATTCCATTTCCATGCATTATTTCAACGCCTCGTCAATTGCTGTCGTCCTGACAAGCGAACAATTTACAGAACACGGCAACACACATCCACACAAACAGAAACTGACGAGTTCTTCGTAGTTATCCGTGGTCAAGAGATCGATGTCTTTATTTATCCAATGGAAAACGCGGCATTTTACTCTCGATTTATATACATGTAAAAAGGAAATTTGCATACGATCTGGAGGAGAGTTGCAAAGAGAAGCGCCGCATCGAAATTGCGATAGCTTTATTCGGCAATCTTTGAAAGTAAATCTCTTTGAATATTTCGCAATGCAAGAGAAATAATACCTACATTGAATATGTTGTAAAAGTGAGATTTGTTTATATTTTTTTATGGCATCGTCCGCTATGGTCGTTAGCAATAACTAAATAAAATTGAGATTAATTAATGGTAAATTCACATTAGCATTTTCATTTTCTTTTAAATTGTTATCAATTCAATTATACAATTAGAGAAAGACACACACAGTTAATGACTTTGATTTGGTCAACTTTAGCAGGTCGACGTTTGTCATATTTGAGTGAAAATACCCAAAACCAATTCTGACACTTGCAGTTTGTTTAGAAATAAACACTAAAAACTTCACATATGGCTTACTTGCCTTTACGGAAATAAATATGTTAAATTGTTAGTTTTTTTGCACACCATATAACTAACATCTCAAAATTACTCGCATAAGCTAAAAATGACATCTATCAAATGTCAAAAGGTAAAAATCATAACATTGACAGAAGTAATTAAAAATAAACATAACCCATATCTATTTGTGAACACTGAATTGACTTTCGTGACAATCCAATTCTATAATCACTAAAATATGTACACTATAATAAATGATTATTACTACATAATTAATTAGAGATATAATAAGAGAAGTGCGAAGTCGTGATTTGACAAAATATTCATGTTCTCCTGGTTTTTGTAAAACTTATATACAGTGGAATAAGCACTCCTCGAACGTTCCTTTGAGATGACTGAAGGGACCAATCTGTCAGTAAGAGAGTTTTGTAAATATCACTTCCACCTTGTTGCCTACATCAGGATGATCGAATGTGTCTTTGAGAGGTCTGAGACAGTACCCGTGGAGCCTGCAATGAACGAGATTGTGTCTTTTATCATTAATCATGGGGATGTAGATAACAATGGTATCATTGAGCTTGTGGATGAGAACAGCCAAGAGCTGACCACCGAAGAGCTTTTGGAGTTGCATTGTGTTTCATAGCAAAAAGTTGTTGAAGAGAGTTTGTTAAAGGAGTAGGAGATGCAATAGAAGAAATTCTGAAAGTATGAAAAACTATTGTATCGTACATTGAGAAGTACATTAATATAAGGTAGTGATTTTGCGCGCTAAAAAATTATCTAGTAATGTTGTGTCGCATTTTCACCAAATTTTGAAGTGTAACTAGACAGTTTTCTGATATAAAAGAATTTTGTTTTCTGCAAATCAAATTCGCATTCCAGGTTGGTTCATTTCACGATAGAAGAAAATATGAAGATGATTTCATTCTCCTTATAAATATATTATCTTATCTTACATTAATTTATATGGGAAACATTGTTTTGCGTTACGAGTTCCATTATATTTTAATATATGTGTACATTTTTGTGCAATTTATTTAAAAAAATCATTAAATGCTATGACTAAACACAGAACTTTTTCAATCGGGATTGAAAGTGCGTAAAATCTCGGAACTTTCCGGGTACCGGCATATTCAATTTTAATATTAAATCTGTTTACCTTTATAGTGAATAACTTTTTGTATATACGTTTCAGAGTAAGTGTCATAGTTCCTATTATTTTATATAATTTCACATACTTTTGACTTTGCTAATATTTTGTCGGTTTTTTTTTCCATAGTTTTATACTTTTTCTCGTAAATAGGCATTATAAACAATAGCCAATTTCTCAAGATTTCGCTCCCAATTTTGAGATATTAAATAAATATTTACGCACTTTCCATTGTGCATAAAATTTTACCGTTCTTAGTATGGTATTGAATATTTGAGAAATCAATATAACAAGTAACAAGTTATATAAACATTTTATTGTTAAAATATTTTATGGACGTAACGAAAATGTGTGATAAATACAGTAGTATTTATAAGTAGTAGAATATTATTGGTACATATTCCTATTTTTTAATTTTACTAAAACCATAACGATTAACGCATAATCCGTTTCAGAATTTTCGGATTTTTACTAGTATAATGAAATACTCGTATAGTGAAATAATTTTCCAGTATAAACTAATGTAAAATACCATAATGTCGGGAAAAAAAGTATAGCTTGGTCTCACTTTTTATTGATATTGCTTTTTATATCTATGGTTATTTTTATTCTTTCGGCTTTATTGTTATTAAATGCAAGTGTTATTAAATTATACAAAAAAAATCGCAGATAATATAACTATAATAATGGCTGAACACAATAAATGTTTGTTTTGCAGGTGTACAATCTGACAATTCTCTTCTTCTCGTCACTCGAAACACGAAATGCTCGTTATGAGATTTACTAGTTAAGCTAGGTTCCACTGTATATAAAAATATACAGTCAAAGTAAATATAAGTAAATTTTATAACTCAATAAAATTTAATGTCAAACATATAATGTTTAGAGCGACTAATAGCCGAATGGTTAAGTCGCCCTACCCACGTGCTAGTGGGCACAGGTTCAAATCCTGATCAAGCCAGGCCCTTTGTGAGCCCTCTCGGTTCATCACTGATGAACCGTGAAATGAATGAGGTTCAGCATATGGACCTTTAGCCAAGGCGATGGACAATGACAGTATTAAGGATAGCAGCTGATTAACATCTGATATACTACTGAAGTTAACCTACAAGATGACAGCTAACCAACAAATTAAAAATCAAATCATCATAATGGTAACTATCCACCGCGATCTTAAATTTACTCATCGTTCAAATTGATGAACAGATTATGAATAAAATTACACGACATAAATATTTTTATAATATTCCTTTGTACTGGTACAACTTGAGGCCATATTTTTAATTTAAGTGAATAGGTATTTCAACTTGTTGCAAATTTGCAGAAACTATTTTGAACATCTGATAAATAAAAATAAGTAGAATAAAATATTTTTTTCTGTAGTAAATTATCACCGCTATTTTATTTATTTTAAATTGAAAGAACAAGAATTTGAGGAAAGAATATTATTTCGAAAACTATACTGTATTCAATTATTGTTAGTGTTTGTATGAAGAAAATATTTATCGTGTTACTTTTTTTTACAAAAATTGATTAACCTTCAGCTGTTTTAAACAAGATTGTACTGAAATTCTTTGTGGCGCTTTGAATATATTGAAAATTATTGGAGTTTTTCCTTTCAACAGTTAAGACCTTTTGTAAAGATTAGACTGGGATATATGTATTAAAATTAAAACTCAATAAAAAATGTAGATTAATAACCAGAACATCGACGTTTTATATTTACTCATTTATATGTCTTAATTGTACATGAATATTTCAAAATGAATAATAAAAAAAAATATGATCATTATGTCCTTTCAGTTTTTAATCTAATCAAATTTTAAATATATAGAATTATAACAAAACGTTTCTATGCAATAACTTATGTTATGTTAATTAAATTATTTTTCATATGTGTATGTTGTTATTCAATAAAAGTTTATTAAAGAAATA